ATGGACGAATAAACACCGAATTCTTCACGCGTGGGGCATTACCCGCTCTTTCCAGTGTCAAGTTTTGTACATGCACTGTATACAAACAAGCACCCAAGTTAATCTTGAATGTGACCTTCATTGATCAAGCCATCTGTGGCCATGACACGGCTGCTTTTGCCTACCCAGTGATAATGTTGACATCAATCAACACTCTTTTGGTACTAATTTAGATGAGGCAACGTAGAGGAGTCCCAAGGCATGTTTAGAAAGTACGTACTGCAGATACCAATTGCCACGGATATTGTAATGGCAGGCGATTATTCTGTATTGTATGCACAAATGACAAGTGCGGTATTCACCAATTTGCACTAAGCGTGAAGTCTGGTGAAACATGCTGCATCACCCACATGGCGTGGGGTGGCCACCATCCAGCAGTATATTGACAAAGGGGCTTAACTTACGTTGTATTGAATTATAAGTTTCGTCTGTAGTATATTTGTGCCTCTTCTAGACTGAAATATACTGTATAGTCAATGACTCTTTGGTTCTTTCGGTGAAGTCACGTAGAAAATAAAATATAATAGAATACATTATATTAAAATCAAATAAGAATCAAATAATAATAGAATACATTCTATTATTATTTGATTGTATTTTCTACGTGACTTTACCGAGAGAACCAAAGAGTAATTCCTGCAGTCACGAAAGCTTCGAATCTAGCTAGTTTGTTTAGTCAATGGTTTATACGATGTACATTGGGAAATCAGTGGTTGTTCTATGGGAAGACTGGCCCCACCATTATTCACGTGAGCAGGAAGACACGTTGACTTTGAAATCGTATGCAATATTATGTAGCCTACAGTATTTATACCTATTATCTGTATGTATTTAGACTGTAGTGTAGATTTGTATACATCTGTTTATGGCTATATAATAGTACGTATGTTCTACTCTTTACTGGATATGGCTTTAGTGTGACACCCTTAAAGAAAGGATCTAACAATCTCATTGAAAATGCATGTTTTGGTAATTTACAATCCAGATTTTAACTTAAGAGAAACTACGCTCAAACACGTTCAACATTTTTTCCCTGCAAAATTTGTGGTGCATTTTAAAGGCAACTGTAAAAAGTTGGCTTTAAAATATACAGTTGAGGATTTAGCAGCTTTGGGAGCCACCAAATACAAACGTGCATCTGGTGCAGGTTTACGCACAAAAAGTACATTTCAAAATAATTGCCCCAAAGCCACATTTTTGGAGATCCAAAATGTCTATGTAGACCCAGTCTGTATTCTATGTAGACCCAGTCTATAGTCTATGTAGACCCAGTCTGTGTAGACCCAGTCTGTAGTCTATGTAGACCCAGTCTGTAGTCTATGTAGACCCAGTCTGTAGCCTATGTAGACCCAGTCTGTAGTCTATGTAGACCCAGTCTGTAGTCTATGTAGACCAGTCTGTAGTCTATGTAGACCCAGTCTGTAGTCTATGTAGACCCAGTCTGTAGTCTATGTAGACCCAGTCTGTAGTCTAAGTAGACCCAGTCTGTGGTCTATGTAGACCCAGTCTGTAGTCTATGTAGACCCAGCCTGTAGTCTATGTGACCCAGTCTGTAGTCTATGTAGACCCAGTCTGTAGTCTATGTAGACCCAGTCTGTAGTCTATGTATACCAGTCTGTAGTCTATGTAGACCCGTCTGTAGTCTATGTAGACCCAGTCTGTAGTCTATGTAGACCCAGCCTGTAGTCAATGTAGACCCAGTCTGTAGTCTATGTAGACCAGTCCGTAGTCTATGTAGACCCAGTCTGTAGTCTATGTAGACCAGTCTGTAGTCTATGTAGACCAGTCTGTAGTCTATGTAGACCCAGTCTGTAGTCTATGTAGACCCAGTCTGTAGTCTATGTAGACCCAGTCTGTAGTCTATGTAGACCAGTCTGTAGTCTATGTATACCAGTTTGTAGTCTATGTATACCCAGTCTGTAGTCTATGTAGACCCGTTTGTAGTCTATGTAGACCCAGTCTGTAGTCTATGTAGACCCAATCTGTAGTCTATGTAAACCCAGTCTGTAGTCTATGTAGACCAGTCTGTAGTCTATGTAGACCCAGTCTGTAGTTTATGTAGATCCAGTCTGTAGTCTATGTTGACCAAGTCTGTAGTTTATGTAGACCCAGTCTGTAGTCTATGTAGACCAGCCTGTAGTCTATGTAGACCCAGTCTGTAGTCTATGTAGACCCAGTCTGTAGTCTATGTAGACCCAGCATGTAGTCTATGTAGACCCAGCATGTAGTCTATGTAGACCCAGTCTGTAGTCTATGTAGACCCAGGCTGTAGTCTATGTAGACCCAGGCTGTAGTCTATGTAGACCCAGTCTGTAGTCTATGTAAACCCAGTCTGTAGTCTATGTAGACCAGTCGGTAGTCTATGTAGACCCGTCTGTAGTCTATGTAGACCCAGTCTATAGTCTATGTAGACCCAGTCTGTAGTCTATGTAGACCCAGTCTGTAGTCTATGTAGACCCAGTCTGTAGTCTATGTAGACCCAGCCTGTAGTCTATGTAGACCCAGTCTGTAGTCTATGTAGACCCAGCCTGTAGTCTATGTAGACCCAGTCTATAGTCTATGTAGACCTAGTCTGTAGTCTATGTAGACCCAGCCTGTAGTCTATGTAGACCAGTCTATATTATATGTAGACCCAGTCTGTAGTCTATGTAGACCAGCCTGTAGTCTATGTAAACCCAGTCTGTAGTCTATGTAGACCCAGTCTGTAGTCTATGTAGACCCAGTCTGTAGTCTATGTAGACCCAGTCTGTAGTCTATGTAGACCCAGCCTGTAGTCTATGTAGACCCAGTCTGTGGTCTATGCGGACCAGTCTATAGTCTATGTAGACCCAGTCTGTAGTCTATATAGACCCAGTCTGTAGTCTATGTTGACCCAGTCTATAGTCTATGTAGACCAGCCTGTAGTCTATGTAGACCCAGCCTGTAGTCTATGTAGACCCAGCCTGTAGTCTATGTAAACCCAGTATGTAGTCTATGTAGACCCAGTATGTAGTCTATGTAGACCCAGTCTGTGGTCTATGTAGACCCAGTCTGTAGTCTATGTAGACCCAGTCTGTGGTCTATGTAGACTAGTCTGTAGTCTATGTAGACCCAGTCTATAGTCTCCCCGTGTGGGGGGGGGGGGGGTGCACCACCCTCCAGCACCGGAAGCTATTTAAGGCGTCTGGAGGCCGTTACAGCTGCAGATGGCGATGATGGCGGTGGCGGTGATGATGATGAAGAAGATGTAACGGGATGCGCGTCTCCATCACTGGCATCACGGCACCGCCAGCACCACCATCAACATCCGAACACCGCCGCAGCGTCTGTTCGTCGGCCAGGGAGGGGACAGAGACGAGAAGACATCGCCTCCTTCCCTCTCTCTGCCTCCCTCTGTCTCTGTCTCTCTCGCGTCTCTGCGTCTCTGAGTGATACAGCGAGACGGGTGAGCGAGCGGTGCAGGCGGACCGAGGAGTCATCCGCCACCACCACCCACACCACCACAAACCACCACTACTCACCACCACCCACCACCACTCACCACCACCACCATCACCCACACCACCACTACTCACCACCACCACCCACCACCACCACTCACCACCACTAACCACCACCCACACCAACCACCACTCACCACCACCCATAACCGACCCCTTCTCACCACCACCACCCACACCACCACCACCATCCACCACTCACACCACCACCACCACTCACCACCACCACCATCCACCACCCACACCACCACCACTCACCACCACCACCCGCACCACTCGCCACACACACCAACCACCACCCACCACCACCACCCATTCCACTCACCACCACCCACACCACCACCACTCCCCACTCACCACCACCACTCACCACCACCACTCACAACCACCACCCACACCACTGACCACACACACCAACCACCACCACTCACCCACCACCACCACACACACCACTCACCACCACCCACACCACCACCACTCAACACCACCCACTACCACTCACCACCACCAACCACTCACCATCCACACTCACCACCACCACTCACTCACCACCACTCACACCAACCACCACTCACACCAACCACCCACCCCACTCACCACCCACACTCACCACCACCAACCACCCAACACCACCAACCACCACCAACCACTCACCACTACTCCCCACCAACCACCACCACTCACTCATCACCACCACCACCCACACCACTCACCACCCACACCACTCACCACCCACACTCACCACCCACACTCATCACTCAACACCACCCACCACCACTCACCACCACCAACCACTCACCACCCAAACCAACCACCACCACTCACTCATCACCACCACCACCACTCACACAAATCACCACCCACACCACTCACCACCCACACTCACCACCACCACCACTCAGCACCACTCATCACTCAGCACCACCCACCACCACTCACCACCACCAACCACTCACCACTACTCCCCACCAACCACCACCACTCACCACCAACCACCACCCACACCACTCACACCCACACTCACCACCACCACTCATCACTCAACACCACCCACCACCACTGACCACCACCAACCACTCACCACTACTCCCCACCAACCACCACCACTCATTCATAACCACCACCACCACTCACCACCACCACCCACACCACTCACCACCCACACTCACCACCACCACCACTCATCACTCAACACCACCCACCACCACTCACCACTACTCCCCACTAACCACCACCACTCACTCATCACCACCACCACTCACACCAACCACCACTCACACCAACCACCACCCACACCACTCACCACCCACACTCCCCATCACTCAACACCACCCACCACCACTCACCACTACTCCCCACTAACCACCACCACTCACTCATCACCACCACTCACTCATCACCACCACCACTCACACCAACCACCACTCACACCAACCACCACCCACACCACTCACCACCCACACTCCCCATCACTCAACACCACCCACCACCACTCACCACCACCAACCACTCACCACTACTCTCCACCAACCACTCACCACTCACTCCCCACCAACCACCACTCACTCATCACCACCACCCACCACCACCCTCGCCTCTATCTCCCCATCTCTGCCCTCTCCCCTCCCCGGGATTCTCTCTCGTGTCATCTCGGCGTCGTGTCCCGTCTCCCTCTGTCCATCTCACTAAGTGCGGGGTCCTCCTTTCTCGTGCCGCTGCCTTATTCACCTTCATTCACTTGGATTCGCAATCGCTTCTTCTCATCCCCTAAATGTGAATCGTTTGTTTCGGATTAATTTATTTGTTCGTGCGATTGCTGCTGCTGCCGCCGCCGCTGCTGCTGCTTCTACACGAGGCGTGTGCGCGTTTTATCCCGTCTCCCTGTTGTTAAAGCCGTCTTTTTATTGTTGTAAGAAACGTAGTAGATATGTGAACGTGTTACAAAAAAACGTGCGTCTGCCATTGTAAAAAGCCACGACCACCAACATCACCACCACCACCACCACGGACCTTGTCCAACCTCATCATCATCTCCAATCCCCTCTCTTCCCAATCCCCAATCCCCCCGTCCCCCTCGCTAGATCGTGGATTACTCTGTGATTTAAGAAGGAAAGAAACATAATAATTTGCGGTCAAATCCGAGCCGGTGTCCCGAGCAAGAAGAGCGGAGGAGGAGGCGGCGGCGAGCAGCAGCAGCAGCCATGAGGTGCGGTCCAGACCCGGGACATTCGCCCACACAAACACTCCACATGCAACATACAACATGCAACATACCACATGCAACATGCAACACGCCACATACAACATACAACATGCAACATACAACATGCCACATGCAACATGCCACATGCAACATACCACATGCAACATACCACATGCAACATGCAACATACCACATGCAACATACCACATGCAACATACAACGTGCAACATACCACATGTAACATACCACATGCAACATACAACATGCAACATACAACACGCAGCATACCACAACATGCAACATACCACATGCAACGTACCACATGCAACATACAAAATGCAACATACCACATACAACATGCAACATACCACATGCAACATACCACATGCAACATACAACATACCACATACAACATACCACATGCAACATACCACATGCAACATACAACATACCACATGCAACATACCACATGCAACATACAACATACCACATGCAACATACAACATGCTACGTGCAACATGCAACATACCACATGCAACATACAACATACCACATGCAAAATACATCACACCACATGCAACATACAACATGCAACATACCACATGCAACACACAACATACAACATAATACACGCAGGGACACGTTACATGTACATTGACACACACACGGACCATGGGCTCGTCGTCGCACGGTTCTGCGTGACTCTCTACAGATGCTGAACATTCGGAATGCGCCGTGTACACGTGTGTCTTGGCTATATACATAGCCACTTACCATCGACACACATGTGATGATGTGACATGCGTAACACATGTGGGTACAAGGGATGATTCGTGCTCGCCTAGAACAGTTAATTCTGCATTAATATACACGAATCGTTACGGATTGATGCATTCCGGACCCGGGACACTCTAAACACACAGTGCATGTACTGCACGTGTACACCCACCCCTGTTCTACATACACATACTGGGCTACATGGACACGTTTCTATATAGACATGTTCATCCACGAATACATGCCTACTGTGTTTACTTAATATACACATGTTCGTGAATGGATACGCAATTACTGTGCATCAAATATCGTGAACAGTGCATTTCATAGCCACCTTCACTGCATGATACGGGATGCATTGCATAGTGCATACCCAGTGCACACACGATTTCCTGTAGGTGTGCACGGGTAGTATAATATCACATTACCCCCACACACCCACACACTGCTTGTGTGCACGAACTCTGTGGTGTGCTTGAATACGACATACTTGGGTGCATGCTCCTTCCTGCGCGTGTGTGCACATGTGCAAGTGGAGCCCAGGGGTCCTTCACGTATTCATATTATCGAGACCTGTCCCTCGTCCATACGTTCTGGAAGCACAATTCTGCATTGACAGACGCAGATGTATGTGTTGCATAACACGGCAGAGTACCGTCGACGTATAGAGACTACGTTAATACGGTGCAGTAAAATTGGAAAAGCGTAGAAAAATTAGTGCATATATACCATGTGAATCTGTCAACGATGTGTATGTAACATGCCATGTGCTGCATACATACATACACGCATAGACGCATTGTTTGCATGTGAATAGGACATTATATATCGCTATATACTAATGGCCAGTATACACTGTTAGTGTGCAGTATATAAAGTGTGTGCTGTAGTGGAATCACTGAATACGCACGTGTGGGACACACGCTTGGTGTACTGTGTTGATGGGAGAGCAGTACGTGTGTTTGTGGATTAAAGATTCCCCCATGTGTGTTCATTATACAGTGCAGCTTTACTGCAGCATGGAGCTCGCATGTACTGTAAGCATGGACACTGTAAATCAAATTCGATACAAGCTCGTTAACGAATTATTAAATGTGGACATTTCAAATGGCTTCACAGCACAGAGTTACAATACGGAATATTGCGTACGATTAAGACATTTTACTGTACTGATCAGAGTAGTAAGGTATGGCCACGTAACCCATTTTGTGACCGTACATTTAATTGAAGTGCTGCACTGCAAGTCAACAAGGGGCAAAATGATTGTGGGTGGAGGAAGGGGCTTGGGTTAGATTCCTCTACACAGCAGAGGTCGCAACCGGGTACCCGATACCCGTACCCTACCCGATACCCGGCTAGCCGTACCCGGCCGGGTACGGGTACCCGTTTGCGACCCTGGTGCGGCCGGGTACGGGTACGGGTAGACCGTGAGTCACTGGTGAGTAACTGTTTGTCACTCATTTCCCAACGTCTTGTCTCTTCTCACAATTCAAGTTCCTAGAATCAACCCACCCGCGCCTGCAACATGGCTTCATCCCAGAGGTCGCAATCAGGTACCTGATACCTGTACCCTATCCGTACCCGGCCGGGTACGGGTAGGGTACGGGTACGGCCAGGTACGGGTACGGGTACCCGTTTGCGACCCTAGTGCGGCCGGGTACAGGTACGGGTAAGGAATCAAAACCCGTTTGCGACCTCTGCTACACAGCTGCCTTGCTGTGTTGGACTTGGTATGTTCTCAACTTCTCCCCCTGTTCTACGTGGGTCTCCTCCGTGGCACTCTGATTTCCTCCCAGAGCAGAAACTAAAATCCCCTAAGTACACTAACTAGTCTTAGCCAAACATCAGAATGTTGAAAATTCATCTGCAAATTACTCAATTGGGATTGCACATGGCAAGGCCGTAGCCATGGAGTCAACATTGGGGGGGAGCAAATCTTCCAGGGGGTTTGGGGGGTCCCCCCCCCCCCAGAAAAAAAAATCTAAATTTGAAAACGAATTTCCTGCCTAAAATCTTAAAAAATGCATTAACACATAGGGTGGACTTTTTATTTATTTTTACAATAATGTCTAATAGTGTATTGTATTACATTGCTCTGTTTTATCTTTTCTTGTTTCATTGTATGTAATGGCAGAGATTATGGATTAATAAAGTACAACCATAACAACAATCATACAAACAGAAATATTTTTATAGCAATATATTGGGGGGGGGAGCATTTTGAGCATATTTGAATATTGGGGGGGGATGTCCCCCCCCCAAATTATATTATAATTATGGCCTTGGCACATGGCAACGTTACCCACTACTTCGAAAACCTTGCAGGACTCGCACGTGAAAAATGTGAGACTTGGCGATCCTTTCCAGCAATAAACAAGCACAAAAATGAAACCCATTGACAATTCCGTAGCAAAATACTTGGACTGCTTTGTTAGTTGGACTTGGCAATCATCTGCAAATCTGAGCGCGTTAAACAATTAGCAAGGTGTGTGAGCGATGGTGCCCCGGGCAATGTTTTCGCGAGCCCAGCACAAGCACCACGGGTGCTCACTTGCAATGCACGGTGTGTATTTACTATTTACACAAGAAGGTTGGCCTACCCAGGAGGGAGAGATGAAAGGCGTGCAATTGCAGAGGGCACTAAAGGGACAGTAAAATGGCAAGTACAAAAATACTCCACTGTATGTCTACATATAGCCATGGCCAGCAGGGAAACGGCACACAATTGCAACGAGCCGCTTACAAATCGGGATAGTGGGGCATAGTTTTTGACCAGCCGGTGGACCCGAGTGGACCCAAGTGGTGGTCTAATTTAATCAATCGCCTTGTGCATTCTTGAGGCATTTGCTCATTTCAGTGTCCAAATATAGCACATTTTTCGAAGAACACGTTGCTCTGTGGTAAATTGTACAACTGCAGTTTAAGATGCTCAAAAAAATCATGATCCTTCTACCAGTCTCCATATCTGTCAACCCATACTCTTTACTCATATTCTTGTACAGGGAAATTGAGTTTTCAGGTCCATAGGGCGTACAGCCGTTCCAATACGGGCAAATGTTTTTGTCTATTTGTTTGTGCTCCTCCCTTGTGATGAGACTTTGTGGGATGAACATTGAGATTTGTAAGGGCACGGGGTGACCAATAAGGTCTGAATTGGACTGTAATAAGGTGGGCACTGATAAGGAGTTGACAGCTATGATTCTCGCACCAGTCAATACTGTCGTAATAAAGTAATAAGGAGACGGTGTGTTCCACCACATTAAAAAAACGATGTAAAGCAAAATTTAAATGCATCGCTGTATCAGTCTTAAAACCCAAAAATGTTTCGGCAGTATTTGTTTAGTAAACTCTGGACTGATTTTCGGACCGGTTAATGTAGCTCATCGGCAACATGTATACTGTAAAATAAATGCAGCTTTGTTATCAAGTGTTATAAGAAAGACCTCTTCATGAACATCGTGGGGCACGTTTAATTACCCTGAAAAGCACGAGTGCATTTTGGTGGGAAGGACCCAGTGAGGAGGAAAAGTGTTTCTTCGTGCAGGACAAGGATATTGAGGAAGCTTCGCCTCTCAGGCCATTGACATAGGGCCCTTTACACTTTTGGGAACGGCCTCATGAAATGGGGCCAAGGACGTGGTACGGTTTTTAGTGCTTCTTTTTTTGTGTGGTCGTGGTGGTGGCATGTGCTGCAGTGACCATACCATGGTTAGGTAGCTAACCCTGCGAAAATGTGACACATCCCTGTAAAAATATCTCTGCCCCACAGCAGCTGACGACAGTTCTTTGGCGCGTCTATTTTAGCTGCCCCAGCGACCTCTTAAAACCCTGTGATGCCCCGTGGCAAAATTTGCCATGGGGTTGTGAATTAATTGTATAAAAAAAGGTGGCCACGGTACTGTTTGCTCCCTTGGAGTTGTAAGGACATTGGCGATTAATATATTTGTTAATTTAATGATTTATTATCTTAACAATTTAGTGTCGAGCATCTGTTAGGACACTGTTAAGCGTGTTGGCAAAACCATTAAAAGTTGTTTTGTGTTTGGCAGTGCCCTTCCTTCTCTTGTGACATGCAGTTAGTGTCAATATTATTTCTTGTGGAATGCTTTTTTCCTGAGTTGCGATGGCTTGGGGGAGGTCAGGGTTGGGATGGAGTTGATGGTTATGGACTTTTCAGTTGGCTGCTTAGGCTTTGGTAGATGTTGTACATGTGGTGTCTGGTAACAGGAGTTGGCCACCACATTCCAGACGGCTCGCTTGAGGTGTGTCGCTGTGCAGTTAATTGACGTAGAAGGCGTTTGCCCCAAATTTGCTCCCGTCACTTTGTCCTCGCCAAGTTGTTCGAAAGTGTCAATGTAATCCCGTAAATATCGTAAGCGTTGTGGTTTGATGTGGGTAGAGTGATGAATGACAATGGGGATTGGGGTTGGAAAGTGGTTCAAATAAGAATTCAACATATTTAATAAATAAATAAACGACATTGACCCTAATATGCCATGCTTCTCAATCAACTTCCCTCTCGCCTGCGTGTGGAACAAAATAACCCAGAAGCACATTTCTTAAAGCGCCCACATCATCCATGTGTGACCACGGAACAGCGTTTAGCGATTTGTAAGAAAGGCTGTGAATCATACTTGTGTTTATTTTGGACATGTCCAATGTGGGAGTAATGAGGAAAAAGCAATGCATACTAATTTTTCTGTGGATCAAGGATTGCTGGTCTGGCAGACACAGTTTAGTTTATACTCCCAGAAGTTTTGGCTTCCAATCTGGGGGGGTATATGCTCCCACAAGTGTTGCCTCCAGTGACTTTTCAGTACTATTAGACCCCCCAAAAGTTTGGAACGTGGAGGCACGCATTCTTGTTGTGTTCGTTAATATTCATAAACCGTATCGGCGTAAATGCAAAACAAATGTTTTGAAATTGTGCACGCAATGTAAATAATAACCCTTGCTGAAGGCTACACGAGTTGAACATTAAAACGCGCAAGAAAAACGCGTTGACTAGAACGCTCGTCACTTTCATATCTCTCTCGTGTGTCGTACTGTATATACTATATATTTTTTTGCGTGAAAGTATACTCTCAGACAAACTGGACACCCCTGAGGTGGTTGGGTTTCTTCAGGATCGGAGCACTTGGGCTGGCACCACCAGCATCGTGATGCTCTGAGATCCTGGGTTTGAGCGGCCTGTGATTAAATCAGGTTCCCAACTGTTAGTGAGTTGTTGGTCTCATCCGTGACACAATGACTGCATTTAAAAACAAATGTACAGTATTACATTGAAATTGTTTTAAAGCGTTCGTGACTGCAGGGATTCATAATCTCGGTTCTTTCGGTAAAGTCACGTAGAAGGAAAATAATAAAATAAAACAATTAAATTCTCACGACGTTTCGACTGCAACACAAAGCAATCATCATCAGATGTGAAAAACACAGCAAGAAAATGTTCTTGCTGTGTTTTTGATTGTTTTATATTTTTATTATTTTATCGTTTCCCATCTTCATGACTTTACCGAAAGAACCAAGAATATTAAAACTGTTACTTATTTTTTTTTAAGAAAGTTCATCTTTGGGAATATAAAAAAAAAAGAATGAAGTGCTACGGCCACGTGATGCACACCCCTCTCGCAATGTGCGTGAGAGAGAGAGCAGTAGCAATCCTCGTCTGAGTTAGAGGTCACATAAAGGGAATCCCATAAGCAGTGTTGATCTCTTTTGACATACTGCTTGCTCTGAGAGTTATGAATTGACACTCAATGATTCTGATAACACACTTGAATTAGAATTTGAAAAATATGTATTACTATATATCTACCAGAATAAATATTAGATGCAGTCATGTATTAATAGATGAATTAATGAAAATCGTTACTGAAAATTCTTCAAATAACTTACAACCTTCGATTTGTAGCCCTTGCAAACAATTTTTCATTTTGGGAGTAGTTAATTATATATGAATTTATTCTGTACGTATGTGCAATAATGCATGTATAGAGGCCTGTCAACGTTTATAAAGGGATATTCAGAGTACGTACCGATTCAGTTTATATTGGGATTTATTTATAAGTTGGTCATGTTTATTAATAATCTGAAAAATAAGTCTGGTATTAGGTCTGTGTGATTGTTATTTATTAAATGATTAATTGTCTAAACATTCTGACCTCTCCTCGGGCAAACAATTGCGAACGCATGTAACCTGCACACAAGTATCGCTGTACTAACGATTGTGATAAATATGGAAACTGAGACTACCCATGGGTCTTGGAGGCAGGAGTGGTCATCTATTTATGCCCATTTCCAAATGAAGCACAATCAATAATCATCATGTGCAGAGGCGTCATGCTTGCACAGGAGAACACTGATCCGTGGTGATATCCATAAGTTTACACCTCCTATCCGTAGGCTAATAATTATGGAACATCTACATCATGGGACCTCCTTTGCCAGTACCAAAATATGAGAATAGGTTTTCCCCTTTTTTCTGGCAACAAAACAGCTGTGTTAAGATGTTAAAACACCAAACTGAAACCTTTTACAAGGAACCATGTCTGCATTAACCACAATACCAATCAGTTTCAAAGACAATGCATATATTGTCAGAGTGTGTTTTTGATTTGCATTCTGACCACAAGTATTGTGGTTAATTCTAAATTATGGAAAACCCACGGATAATAGGATACTTTCTATAAGATTAATTTGCCAGACGACTTCTCTTGTTTGTGAAAAAAAATCACAGATAATAGTAATGGCGTCTTCGTGTCTTTCTGTCTCCTTTTTGTGTGTCTATCTCTGTGATTCTCTGTATCTGTTTGTTTCCCTTTCTTTGCCGCGTATCTCTTGTTATTGCCGCGTATCTCCTGTTGTCCATGAAAAGATCATGAGCATCGGTAAGCAAGATTGCTATGCATTATAGGTAAAAATCGCGCATAATAGTAACAATTAGGGCCAAAGATAGGTTTTCTATAGCCTCCACTGATAATAGGAGCCATGGGTAATAGTGCCGTGGATTAGAGGAGTTCTTTCTTGTATTAGTTGGCATAAGTATTGTGCTGTATGGGGTCAAATATCCTATTGGGACCCTTCGGGGGAAATCATCTGAAGCTTCAGTGATGCTTCTCATGATTAATGAATAATGAGCATTCATGAATAATGGGAACACTGATTTTTCTCAAAGTAATCGTATTTAATTTTCGATTTAAAGCTTTCGTGACTGCAGGGATTCATCTTCTTGGTTCTTTCGGTAAAGTCACGTAGAAGGGAAGTAATACAATTATTATTTATTATTTTTATTATTTTATTACTTCCCTTCTACGTGACTTTACCGAAAGAACCAAGAAGATAATCGTATTTAAGTTACGACGTGCTCGGCAGCAGAGGGCAGTGCATATACATCTATTGTTATACTGTACTTGACATCTATGTTCCCACATCTGTGCTCGCTGCCTTGACCAAGTCGCACTGACCCAACATGGTGAAGTATGACCAAATACTCCTCACGACCCATGGGGAGGCCCTCATCCAGCAGTGGATTGACAACAGAGCTGTACATGTACACGTTTATTTTACTGTGACCATTTAAATACTGTACAAGTACTCTACGTGAAATTGCATGGTATGTTTATTGGTTTGACCCAGGCCTGTAGACTTTTTAGTTGAAATGGGGAGGCATACAACAAGTTAGGGGGTGGGAGTGCAACACAAGTTACACAAACTTGACACATGTTGAACCCTAAGCATAACATATAACGATACGATCTGCTTCAGTCTATCGTGCATTCTGCTCTGGCTCTATCCCCAATATAGACAAAGAAAGATCATTTAAAAAAAACTACCACGTGTTTTAAATTTTGTACAACATTTATTTTTACTTGACTCCAGGAATTTAAAATAGCGGTTGTATGTAAGTATGTCAAGCTTAATTTGTACCGCACGTAGCCAACCGTGCTTATCAGAGTTGCTGAACCTTCGACAAAGGGTGGCTCATCTTAGAGCCCCCTACAATCCTACAGGGCTGGTTTTACCTCCTAAGTGTGGATATGGGGGGGGGGGAGCATTAAACTTCAGGCGTCGTGCTGGAATTTGTAGTTACGTTTGTTGTCCCAAGTGCCAAAAGCTGACACGGGTGCGGGGGGTCCCTGTCTTTCAAACCCCAGCGGTTCTGCCCATTCCCCCCCAAGCAGCGAGCAGAGTATCTGCCAGGCCCGTGCCTCCGTCATGATCTACGACGACACCAACAAGAAGTGGGTGCCGTCGGGAGGCTCGCTGGGATTCAGCCGTGTGCACATCTACCACCACACGGGCAACAACACCTTCCGCGTCGTCGGGCGCAAAATCCAGGACCACCAGGTGAGTTGCATGATGTCACGATTGCACATGCCCTGCGACTGGGAAGGGTGATGGAGCGTGGCGGAGGAGGAAGGGTGATGGAGCGTGGCGGAGGAAGGGTGCTGGAGTGTGACGGAGGAGGAAGGGTGGCGGGTGGTAGAGCCTGGCGGTGGAGAAAGGACGAGCGTGGAGGAGGAGGGTGGGAAGTGACAAAGTGTCGGTGTAACTGTGCTTTTTCTCAAAGTTGTTTATTATTTGTGATGTTTGCTACAGATTCTTTATTTTGAATGGATTTCCAGTTTTAGATGCCTCTCCACTTTTGATTGGTGCGGTTTCATTAATTTTGTTGGATCGTGCAACGTGGATTTAGTTATTATATGGAGGTAGCTTTCCATTTTTCTGCCAGTCTTACTTGAAAAATAACTTTTCTTAATCGCTGGGTTTAAAATAATGTACCGTATTTTTTATGGTTATTAAGTGAGGACTTCACAATAGTGCACATTTTCCAGGCTCAAAATGCGTTAATACAATTCCTTCATTACGAGCCAAGAGCCTCTTGGGACTAAAAGTCTCTTTTTCAAGGGAAATTTGGGTCAGATATGAATACATCGTAACGGTAAACTTGGTCCGGTGATACAAATAAAAACGCAGCATTTAGAACGTTATAAGAGAAAACATTGTAACAGTCAAACTCATGCAAACTCGGACTCGTATTTTCATTCCCAGGGCCCATGAACGATTTGGGCCTCAAGACTGTGGCACTATTGGCCCTGTATGGGTTGAGTTGCCGCTTGCCCCACATGTCCATGTCATCTTCTTGGTTCTTTCGGTAAAGTCACGTAGAAGGGAAATAATAAAATAATAAAAATAAAACATAATAAAATAATTCTCACGACGTTTCGGCCACAACGCAAGCAGCCGTCCTCAGGTGAAGACCAGGTCTGTCGGGGAGACAGCGTCTGAATGGTCTTCATCTGAGCACGGCTGCTTGCGTTGTGGCCGAAACGTCGTGAGAATTATTTAATAATGTTTTATTTTTATTATTTTATTATTTCCCTTCTACGTGACTTTACCGAAAGAACCAAGAAGATGAATCCCTGCAGTCACGAAAGCTTTAAATCGAAAAATGTCCATGTCAGTGAACGAAAGGCTGTCTTAACATGCACAGATTAGACTCCATGAAGACGAGAGCCTTTTTACAGACAGCCTTCGTAACCAAGCCAAAGACACACACACATCCCTGTTACAGTCCTACCCCTGTCAGAGATGTAGTCCCATGATGATACTCCAGTCCTACCTTTGACCCAATGAGTCGGTGTCATAATTTTTCCAGATAAGAACCCGATAACATAATAATCTATTTCACAAGAGAGACGTGTCAAAACCTAACGGACTCGGCTAAACTTTGACTTGGACTACAAAGGCCTTAGCTTCTATCAAATCTTTGAGTTGAGAAATGTGGAGAAATAAAATACGGAAAAGATGTTTTCTAGACAGAAAAAACACACTTTTGTATGCCAAATGACATCACTATTTTATGCGTATGAAGCACGCAGCCTAGTTTCAGATCCCAAGGGTCAAAATTGTCAACGTATCACTTTAGACAGCAGCAGAACATTAAGTCAAGTTTTCCAGTTTCACAATTTTCATTATAGTCGTCATCACCTACTGCTGGCTTATGCGTAGGGGGCTTTGTGTGGAAAGCCCCTCCTGATCACAGAGGAGTTGGGGGGGACGGGTGCAGTTTGGGAGTGTTGCCTAAGGGTGACAATAAATAATTTCTGCAAATGATGACGAACTCGTCAGACGGTGTTTGTATGATCTGGAAAACTCTTGAGCAGGAAGGGCTGGGATTTAGCAGGGGGCCCTCTGGGTCATTGCAGACCTTGAGTGAAGGAACTGGGGTGGTCCCAGGAGAGAGTGGAACATAGGTGTTTGGATGAGTGTGGCACGCGGGCAAAGCTTATGTTGTAGTGGGGGTTGGTGTGGGGATGTGGGGGGGGCCTGGCAATGCAAGAAGAGGGGTTTTATTTTCTTGTGTGTGTTTGTTATACACTTGCGTGTAGTAGATCAGCTTGAGGGTTTTAGCAATGGAGGAACTCGATTACTGTGCAGGCAGCACAGTGCATGCAAGCTCTCCTGTTATGCCCAAGGGATCCAGTCTGGAAAGAACGAGGACGGACGTGGTTTTTGGAACGTGAACTGTTATGGGTTTTTAAAAGCAGTTATTTATTAAAGTGCTTCAAAATGGGGCTTGTCCCTATGGTTGCTCACATTGAATTTGTGCAAAATTTGGTGGTCATGGCGACTTTGTTGACCCTGCGCTCACTGTGGGAATACAAGCGTCGTACAGTGACCGCCTCTGTTGTGTGAAAAAGCCTAAAATACGTCCTACCGCTCGGTGTGCCGAGTCCGTCGCTCTTCATCATCCCACGTATTATTCCCCAGCGGTGTGTGGGGTTTATTTAATTATCTTAGAACATCTGCCTCGCATGTCGCTCTGTTCAGTGGAACAAGGTGGTTGATCGGAGGACTGGCTCGTAGAACAGTGGCGTGTAAAAGCTGTGAGGCACGATGCATTGCATATATGTTTTAAATAGTGAAAGGAGCAGCCCTTCATATCTGTGTAAATCTAAATATCCTACGCTGTTTAGGGTTGGGACCTTGGTGCAATGGTTGACGCACTGCGCTCTCAACTGTGACCTGGACAGAGTCCGATCCCAGCCGCCGGGGCTCAGTGGCCAGTGATATCTGAATTGGTGTCGCCCTTCCACCAACTTGTACTGACCAGTGTGGTGAAATATGGTCAAACAACCGCTATAAATGACATGGCATAGAGAGGCCTTTATCCAGCAGTGAATTGACAAAGGGCTGTAGATTTAGTCAAACGGCATATGTCACATGATTTGAAACGGCGTAGTTGGACCCTTGAGCAAAGTGCTGTTGTTGCGCTCACTGTGATTTATTTTGTTCAATATTTAAATCTCAGAAGTATGTTGCAGTGCTAGGTGTGTGTGTCTCCGAGTGGCTCCTGTTTCCCACTCGGTGCTGCGTCTCTTAAATCCAACCTTGGGGGAATGCAGCACGGATTTCATTTTTTTATTGGATCCAAAAACCCCTATTCTTTTCCCCCTCTTTGTCTTACTTTTTCCTCTTTACAAGTAGCTTAAACTAAATTGATTCCATCTGCGAACTGCCCTCGTTCATCTCATGTGGCTGGTTTTGTCTGGATAAAAAGGACAACAACAAAAACAATAGAAAACTAAACAACCGCAGTGGACACCCACGGTCTGTTTAACAGGCAGTTTGGCAAAGTTACATTCGTAGGTTTTTGCAAATATTTAAGCATTTCACTTTTGCACAGACATCTGTATTTCGGCACCTTATAATTTCCTCTTTAAATATATATCATTCACTGCAGGCCCCATGAAGTGACTTGCTGTGGGCGTTTGAAACTGCTGGCTTAGCTTTGAAAACTGGGCTCACCGAGAAACAGACGCGCCTCCTAACAGGGGCGACCCGACTCGAATGGGGAAAATCATCAATTATCACCTCAAACATTTGCATGGCCGTGCTGCCTTTTGCGTGGTGCTCGGAGTGGCAGCGCCTGCCCCCACCGTCTCACAATCCCCACTTGGCCCCCTGCCTTTCATTTCTACAGCCGTTGCCGATATCATCCCTGCTCTCTTCAAGCGGTGGAGGGTCTTGGATTTTTGCCACTGCTGCGCTTACTAAAAAAGCCGATGAAACACAATGTTTCTGCAATTTAAAAAAGAAACAAGTCTTTCAGCAAGCTGAATTACATATATGTATGCACTCACCCAGGGGGTGCCGCTTGTGAAAAGCCGGGCTGGATGGGTTAGTTGCCGAGTTGATGGTTTTGTTTCAGTTCGAGCACTGGCTGTACATGATTAATACAAGTCTATTCATTTCCTCGGTGTGAGGGGATGGTTTTTCAAATCACCAACTTGCTCTGTTCATTCTAAAAGTCCCAGTATAGAACAGCATAGTTGCTTTGTGTGGAAAGCCCTTCCTGAATCACTGAGGGGGGGAGGGGGGGCACAGTTTGGGAGTACTGCCGATGGTAACTGTGAAGAAGAGCTTGGTTATGAATATTTATTGGTCGCGATATTTATTTCCCTCAAACATTCCTTCCCGGGATTTGGTTTTTATTAATTTGTTTTCATAATGAAATAAGCATTTGTACAAACAATTTGCTAATTAACAAATATCAACCATAGCACTTTGTATTTATAATTTACTGTGTGGCTTGGGGTAAGGTCTGAGTTGTTAAAATTTATAACCTGGAAGTTATCACTGCGTCGCACTGGAAAGAGCATGCTTTTATGACCATGCCGTGTCCAGTTTCTCTGTGGGTTTACGTCACGTTCTCGGCTCGCTCACAAATCACGCGCGGGTGCATTCGCCGTATCTCTTCTTAAGTGTGGCTCTGCATTACTCTGGTGAAACTGTATCAATATTTCACGTGCATTTTTTCACCCCCCACAGTGTTTTTCCCCCTTGTTTCAAAATTATAACATTAATAACATGTACGGAAAGTACACAATCTTTTCTTTTTACATTATTTGTATAATCAAAAATATTTTAAAAGATAAATGAGCTGATTATTTTAAACTGTTGCATGGTGGATGGATTTGAAGAGTTGTCCCATTTAGCACAAACAATAATAAAATTTGTAATAATTTATCGTCGTTAGCGTAGGTCAAGTGCGTATATTATACGTCCAGGTTTAAGCGTGTGAGCCATGTGATTGCCGCATTTGCAGTATGGTTTTCCACAAGGAACCACTCCAATGCGCGCACCGTACAATCATCCTATACAGCATGCGTAATTATACGCTCAAATATTGATCGTAGGGCATGAAACCATGGACCAGACGCTCTCTTGCCATGAGCTTCATGGTTATTTGGGGTGGTGACACGACCCAGTGGTAGCACGATTGCCGTTTATACCGACTATAATCACCCATGAATGTCTGTCCTTAACGCTCGTGACGTCACTCCACATCGACCAGCCCCACTCATTAATATTCATGAGCAGGTGACGTCCTTCAAATGGACCCCCCCCACCCCTCCTCATTAATAATCATGAGCGGGGGACGTCAATCAATATTTAGTACTCCCCCCCCCTCTAATAATAAATGTGCAAGTGACGTCACTCCACATCGAACAGCCCCCCCTCATTAATAATCATGAGCAGATAACGTCCTCCAAATGGACACCCCCCCCCCGTCATTAATAATCATGAGCAGGTGACGTCACTCCACATCAAACAGCCCCCTCATTAATAATCATTATAAGGTGACGTTCTCCAAATGGACACGCCCCCCCCCCCCCCCATTCATAATAATTATCGGCTGACGTCACTCCACATGGGTGGCCGAGGCGTCTCCTCCCCCCTCGTCGGCATCAGGAGGAGGGGGGGAGGAGGCAGAACCCTCGCGTCACGCGATCTCCGTAACGCTGTTGAGACCTCAAAGTAAAAAGGACGTCCTGATGAACAAGGGACTATAACCTTAAAATGAAATAAGTCTGTGTCACCGCGCTTTTACAAATTGCACATGCATTAATGCAATGAATATCACGTCGCGGTCTGCTTTTCGCTTGCAAATTTTAGATTTACTGCAATACACCCATCCTTGGACGGGCAAAAGGCGAGTGATAGAGGTTAACGGTTCGCATCTGCAGCCGCCCTGATTAATACTAAGGATTTATTTCTAAGAAATACTATGCCCTGTCTGCTTCACATTGGATGTTAAAGATCCTGTGAAGTATTTTGAAAGAGTAAGCCATTGTGCTATGGTCAGGGTCCAAGTATGGTAAATTCTAACATTACTCGCAAATTCCGCAATTGGGATAACACACAGCAATCGCCACCCCCTGATGACAGACTAATGCCCATTTTTAGGCTAGGAGCTGTATCACGTTGTGCCCACAGGGACAGCTGCCGCTAGAGATCTCCTTCCAGACGTTTGAGATGAGATGTAAAGTGCTTTGAGACGCCCCAGCATAGAGGGCGCTATATCAAAAACAAATTAGTATCGTTAATTTAAAACTGCCTCATGGAAGAGATATATTTTTTGAGACCTGACTCATAACCAGATTGAGGAGTGCAATCGAGGTTGGAGGCAGAAGGTACGTAAATGTGCAGCCCTGCAGAAGTGCTTCCAAGTGTGCGAACCCAGACACCACAGAGGTTGCTTCCATGATGGTGGAACGGATCTGACAACCAAATATACCACCAGTTGTCTGGTGGCTATGAACTGCTGCATTCGCGTGTAAATAGTCACTACGGCCTTGCGTTCGATTTTACCTGCGTTTTTCGTTCCCCTCCCCTCCGCTAATGAACCTCTTCGCGAATGTGCGATCGCGGCACGCAGGTGGTGATAAACTGCGCAATAATCCGCGGCCTCAAGTACAACCAGGCGACGCCCACTTTCCACCAGTGGCGCGACGCGCGCCAGGTCTATGGCCTGAACTTCGGCAGCAAGGAGGACGCGCACGTGTTTGCCAGCGCCATGATGCACGCCCTGGACGTGCTGAATGCCCAGGAGCCTGGTGAGGACGGCCGCGGAGGGGACACCCACGTCCCGCCACGCACGCACGACCAGCGTACGCGCACGCACGCACGACCAGCGTACGCGCACGCACGCACGCACGCACAGATAACCTGTATGTATCTATGTTGAACTTCTTTCGCACCGTACGGAGCCATCCGTGCAAATCGGAGGTCCGGGGTAAGGACAACAAACTAAACGTAAACATCCTTTCTAAAGAATGAAAGTGCACGATGCAGTTGACCGTCTTAGTTCACGCGATATCGTTTTGCACGGTAATTATTCTGCGCGACACGCACACGCGTGTGTGTAGGAGCGGCGGTTACGCGTGACTGACGTGCATGTGGCATTTGGCGCACCCGCACACCCAGCGTGCTTTCGTGACGATCTCGCAACGCGAAGAAACGCGCACACGTGACTTGCGCACACGCAAGACCAACACGCGCATTGACCAGATATCGCAAGTGTCCCTGACGACAGCTTGTGCTGAACCGCTAAGGGTTGACGTATCGACAAGTTGAGGCACGCCACTTGTTACTACCCCTTTCACTATCCTTCCCTTAATGGGTGCTGTGCCTACTTCAAATCTGTGGTGATATATTAGATGGGTGTTTAATATATTTTACTTGCCGTCGTCAAAACTTGCTTGTGTTCGCAAGATGTTTGATTTGCTTTAACAACGAGATAATGTCACACTGCGGGACACCCTGAGATTCACTTGACATTCGATTACGTCATGGTGAAAGGAGTTAGGGGGGAAGCACTCCCTTGGGACGTTATGGTGCAAATGCTAAGGTAAATCCTTTTTACCGCTGGTTTTGTTTCAAGTTTTGGGTAACCCTTTGATCAATTTATCTTTTGTCTAGGATGAGTTCCTAATCGTAACACAACTTTTATTGAAGTGTTATAGACAGACGGGTGGGTGGAAGAGCCAATGCATAAAATACTTTCAACTTTATTTGAAAAGCGTTCAAAAGGCTTGTGTGTGCTCAAACCTGTCACGGTGGTCATATTCCCATTTGCCCTACTTGTGTTCGCAGGGAATTTGTGTCGCTTAACACACCATTAACAACTCGCCACCCATTGCCACCTGCAGCTCTTGCCGATGATGTGCGTTTTTTGGCCGTGTGTTTACACTCCTGGTCGCTGTGCTTGCGTACACTTGCGTAAACTTGCGTGCACTTGCGTGCGTGCGACTTGCAGCTGGACCCATGCTCCAGCGACAGAATTCCCGCACGCAGCATCAGCCATCACATCCGCCCCATCCCCAGCACCCACCGCACCCACAGCAGTCCCAGCACCCGCAGCACCCAAATGGACCCCTTCCACTGGAGCTGGAGATGCAGAGGAGGTGAGAGTCCTGTTCGTATCTCAATATAATAATATAAGATTCGGGGTTTGTATCAGTTGTTCCTGCATGAGGTTACTATGTTTATCAGGCCCATGACATTTTGAGTACCGTTTCCCGACTCGGCTTTACGGAGTTGTTGGCACCGTTATTATTCGTCCACGGCCTTCGCAGGCAAATGCAGGAGCGGCAGCTGCAGGTGGCGGAGCGGCAACGTCAGAAGGAGCTGGAGCAGGAGCGCGAGAGGCAGGAGCAGGAGAGACAGGAGCTCCTGGAGTGCGAGCGTCTCGAGAGGGAACGACAGGACCGGGAGAGGCTGGAGCGCCTGGAAAGAGAGCGCGTGGAGAGGGAGAGACAGGACCGCGAGCGGCTGGATCGCATAGAACGGGATCGGCAGGACCGCGAGCGTCTGGAGCGGCAGGAGAGGGAGCGCCTGGAGAGGGAGCGCCAGGACCTGGAGCGTCTGGAGCGCCTGGAGAGGGAGCGGCAGGACCGGGAACGGCTCGAGAGCGAGAGGCAGGAGAGGGAGAAGCAGGAGCGCGAGCGTCAGGAGATGGAGCGCGCGGACCGTGAGCTGCTGGAGCGACTGGAGCGTGAGCACCGCGAGAGGGAGCGCCGCGAGGAGGAGCGCGTGGAGCAGGAGCGGGCGGAGAAGGAGCGGGAGCGCCAGGAGAAGGAGCGCCTGGAGCACGCGGAGCACGAGAGGCTGGAGCAGGAGAGGCTGGAGGCCCAGCAGAAGGAGAACGCGGCAGTGAGCACACGTGCCCCATCTCCCCCCTCTTTGATTACAACGCACGGTTGTTGTGAGCGCGCTGCGTATGCATTTAGGCGATTGACCTTGCCTGAGACAATGGTTATTATCATAGTTATAATCCGATCGATGCAGGGCAGCTGAAAAGTAAAAGATGCTTATGACAGCGATGTGGAGAGGTACTTGAGTTTGAGTGACTCCCCCCCCACCCCCCCATTTCCCATCACGGATTCTATCAATACATGCGCGCGCACTTGCTGTGCGTCGTAGTGCTGAGGATGACCACAACCCTGCTGCACTCAACACTAATTATCATCATGCGTGCCCTCCTAAAGCTTTGCCACAGTTCCATAAAGCTTTGCCAAAGCTCCATAATGCCAGTTTGGAGTGATGTGCAATTACCGTCCTGCACCAGACTCGGTAATTGGTGCTATTCGTGCTAGCCCCGTTTGGTTTTGTTTGCTAAAATTGTAATATTCACCCAGCCGTCATTCCAGAGTCAACCCCACATATGATCTGTACGTTTCTACATTTATTTGGATTATCTTTAAGTCTGTACGCCAGAAATCTTATTTTCGATGTGGGTCGATTGAAACAAATAAAGCATTGCTTTAATGGTGCTGAAGATGGCTTCTTTTGTAAGGACATTTGGAAAAGTAATTTGGCAAATGGTGACGAATAATGGGGCTTAATTTATTTTACGTCCCTCAGGGTCAGCGACGCGTAACATATTTCTGAGCCAAGCACACCACCACATCCAGTATTCCTCTCGTTAATGCTGTGCATAGTCACGTGGCTATTCCTGTATTGGGTGAGGAATTAAGCTTGGGGAATAAATGAGATGTATTATTATTACGACAGTACAATCTGAACATGAGCACACTCCTTTGAAGCAAGGCCAGTGGTGCTAATATCCAAAGTGTACTTGTATCAGAAGTTTATATACGGTGCGCTAATATCATTATGGTTACATTTCGATTTAAAGCTTTCATGACTGCCCAGATTCATCTTCTTGGTTCTTTGGGTAAAGTCACGTAGAAGGGAAATAATAAAGTAATAATAAGAAAACATAATAAAGTAAATAAATAAGATTTTTTTTTATGTTTTTTTCCCTTCTACGTGACTTTACCGAAAGAACCAAGAAGATGAATCCCTAATACAAGAAGATGTATTATTATTATTACAGTACAATCTGGACATGAGCACACTCCTTTGGAGCAAGGCCAGTGGTGCTAATATCCAAAGTGTACTCGCATCAGAAGTTTATATACGGTGCGCTAATATCCAGCTTTTACATTATGGTTATTGTTATTGCACACGGGATGGAGGGTGAGACGTGTGAAACTCTGCGTGTTGTCCACAGTACGAGGACGAGGAGGACGAGGGCCTCGAGGGTGTAGAGGACTTGCCCGTTGGGCTCGAGCAGGACCCGGGCTCTGCTGACGACGCCGGCGACTTCCAGCCGGATGCCTCGTCACTCGGTAAGCCAACCTCCCCCCCCCCAGCACCCCTTCCCCCCCATGGCAAGGTGCGGTGCCGATGGGTGACTCGTCGGTACGTCCCCATTGATTGATTTCTTCGCTTGTTGCGGTCAATTTGTACTGCCCGAGATCCGTGCGTCGAATTGTGCATGCAGGAATAGATTCTTGAGCATTTGTCGTCATCATTACCATCATCATCGTCGTCCTCGTGGTGGTTTATTTTTTTTTCTATTGAGCCACACGCCTGCGTGTTAGGGTCTCCTCTAGACACTCAAAAGGGCATAATGTTCAAACCCCCACGTATGGGCAACAGAAAAATCTAAATGCACATCACAGTCCACATCAACGGCACAGAAAACATCAGATCATTATAATAGCACCACCTCTGTCGGGTGGTGGAGGGTTATGGTTAAAATCGTGATATGCCTCCATGCTGATCTAACCCAAAAGAAATTAATTATGCATCAAGGAACTGGTTCTTTTTCATTGCAAATTAGACAATTGAAGCTGTGTTGTAATGCAGCACTTGGGCTGTATGTGCGTATTACTTGTAATGTGGGTATTGTGACGTGATTGGGAGCAGTCCTGTGCAGTTGTGTTCACATTTACATGTTTGAGTTGCACCATGAAAGCACCGCTTTCCGCAGGGGGGACTTGATGTTCTTGTGCAGCTCTGTTGGGTTATTTTGTTTTGTTTTATCGCTGTCCTATTTAACCCATGGCGAGATGAAAAGCTGATCGCTTTCAAAAGGCTCTTCTGTTGTGTTTGTGCTTATGAAACTGTTTCCATGGGCAACTGTTTCATGAAGTGGGCACGCGGCTTCAGAAAAATGAATTTCGCCACGACTCCCCATTTTCTGCGCATGTAATTTACAATAGCGATCATCGTCATCTTTTCTTTGGCAAGTGAAATACTGTTACTTCTCGATCATCTCAAGACTCTTTCTCCAAACGGTCGTGCGATTCATGATTGAGTAATGTTTTTGTAAGGCTACCGATGATTCACTCTCCCCAAGCGATTGGATGAATCGTCACTATTCGGGGGTTGTGATTCCATTCAAGAATCGATTTTTTTTGTCGCATCATTCTTGTGCATTTTTGTAGGTGTCATTTCTTCCCTAATTTGTTTGTACAGTTTTGCTCTTTCCAAAAGTCTACAGTGTAACATTATAAAATAGTTGGTATATAGTCTTTACGATTATTAAGTAATTCTCATATGCACGATTTGATGCACGTTTGTTGGGTGTAAGGATGGAATTTCATGGATGCATTGATTAGCGCCTAATATTATAAAAAAAAACGTGTCCGTTATGCATTCTGCATCTACAAATACAACTGCAGGGCTTTGTTTTCGCGCAGAGGGCAGTGCAGTAAAATCCACTTTTGTATTGTACTATACTGCAACATCTGTGCACTCGCCAACCTGCACTGACCATCTTGCTGAGGTATTGTAATAACCTCCACAACCAGCTTGGCATGGATAGACTTATATTGTAGTGATTGACACGGGGGGGGGGAGCTCTACATGTACACATGCATGTACAATAAAACTATAGGCTGCAAATTTCTTGAAACTTGGAACATTAGATGATCCACCAGCCTTGCCTGCAAAGCGCTGCATTACAATTGCACTCCACCCCCCATGTGTGCGTTTGGTTCAGTTTTCCTGCCGGCCGGCGCCCCACCTCCTCCTCCACCTCCACCGCCACCGCCGCCTCTTCCATCATCACTGGGTGCTCAGCTGACGGGAGTCGGCCCCCCACAGCCCCCTGCGCCGCCTCCTCCTCCTCCTCCACCTCCTCCGCCCCCGGTGGGCATGGCCGCCCACCCAGCACCACCGCCCCCTCCGGGGCCCCCGCCCGTGCTGCTCGGAGGCGCCTTCCAGCCGCCCGGCTCCCCCGGGCCACCTTCTCCACCCCCCTGCTCCTCCTCGTCTGTGTTTGCGTGCCCCCCGGCCACCCCTGTGCCGCCGCCACCGCCCCCCCTTCCGGGATTCACAGCGGCAGCAGCAGCAGCAGCAGCCGCCTCCCAGCAGCAGCAGCAACAGGCTGAGGACGGGCCCTGCTTGACGGGCTTGGCTGCTGCCCTAAGCTCGGCGCGCCTTCGCAAGGTTTACCGGGTGAGTGGACCTCCTCACTGTCCCTTTGACTCTCTCCGCTCTAGCTGCGGCAGCCATTGTTTGCAGACAACGTGGTTCATGCAGCACGAAGAAGACACAATACATATTTATCAGTGGTTAAGACTCACATGTGGGTTCACAAACCCCCTTGCTCTATCATCACCTGGCCACCTTGCAGTCTCTTGCCTGTATACGTGTGTGTGCATTGTGCGCCCTGCCGGCCTTCATAAGAGCATTTATTCCAGCAGTCTGTTGAATGCGAAAGTGGAGATGTGCGTCTCTGTGTGCGTGGTGATGTCAGTCCGAAGATGGTGGGGTGGCCGTGTCCAGCCCGGGCTCGTCCCGAGGGGAGGGGTCCCGTGTGCCTGTGCCGCTTGTAGGAGGTGGCCTCATGGAAGAGATGAGCGCCCTGCTGGCACGCAGGTGTGTACTGTCATCTCTTGATATGTCCAGTGACCTCCACGCGGCAGGGGAGGCGACAACACTCATTCCCATTGACATCACTTCACGTTTTTTAATAGGTGTGACCTCCCATATATAGATAATTCTCAACATGATCATGAGCTATCTTATGTAGATTTTTATAGTGCCTTATTCCAAGGAGCTTTACAGGAATCATAAAATGTATACTTTTGATACATGCATCAAATCACGTGTGTAAGAATCGATTATTCACGGTTTATACAAGTTATAAGCAAAAGTATATGCCAATGTTACATGCCGGCTAAAAGGAATCAACACAGTTGGGCAAATGAGACGGATAGAAATTATAAATTATTAAAACAAGACTACATTTGAAACATTAACGAATCGATTTTTTAATGAAATTGAAACAACAAATATTGACGATTTGCTGTGAATGGGGGATGGGGGAGTTGAATTCTTACACTCCACCAAGTTTCCTAGGCTGTGTCCTGGGCTATTCAACTTGAGATTGAAGCTTCATTCATGAGACTTTAAATCAGCAATTGTCAACCAATTGGAATTGCCCCCCTGAAGGGGAACGGAGGGGGGGGGGTGCAAAATTATTTTGGGGGGAGTGCGTGGGGGGGCAGTCTGCAGCATGGATACCTTGCAGGAGAAATTTTGATAGTGTGTGTGTGCAGGAGAAATTTTGATAGTGTGTGTGTGGGGAACATCAGTATGACGCAACGCGGTAATGCGCAACATGAAGCGGTGCCTTGCTATAACACTGCTTTCATGAGAAGTGTGGGGATTGCTCTCTCCTAAGGCCTGGGAAACTTTGTGTTTTCGGGTCTGGGGAAGGGGCAGGGCGTGGGGAGCAGTGGCCTCAAAAATCGCCGATTTAAATTAACATTTATATTAAAATAATAAAAATAAAACATAATAAAACAATTCTCACGACGTTTCGGCTACAACGCAAGCAGCCGTCTTCAGGTGAAGAATGAGACAATGCCAAGCTAGGAGCTTATATATAAGCTGCGTTGGAGGTGGAGGAAAGAGCGCCTTAACAAAAGAATGTGCATGTGAAGAGGAATTTAGCATATTCATGGAAAATGCGTAGGAGGTGGGCGGGGGGGTTTCAAAGTCATATTATGCCCATGCATTATGCAGGATCAACAGCACCAAGGGGGGGGTGCAGGGATTAGCAGTAACAAAGGAAAGGAATGTTAATGATATGTAGCTGCAGTTACTCAACCACCACGTAGAAAACTAAAGTATAAACTACATAAAAAACTAAAGTATAAATAGCATAGCACCATCAGTATACTTACTATACTCTACACTAAGCTGAGTTACTAACAGCAAGTAATACATTACAATTCTACGTCGTAAAAATTATATAATATGCTTCCATCTAAACTTTATTCTATTGCATCAACGAGCATATACCGTACTATATACTGCCAACATTAAATTATATACTGTATTGCTGTAAACCAACCTATATCTTATACATTTAATATAACACTATGTATTATTCTACCCACCCTAATGTGTGTCGAAATGGTTTATTACGTCCTTCCAATGATTGCTAAGCCAGAATCCATCTTCTCGGTTAAAATTGTCTCTGTGTTTGTATATGTGGATCGCCTCATGAACGAATCTCTCATGATAGCCAGATGGCTTGCAGAGAACCTCTGTCTTGGAGAAGTCAATGTCATGTGAGCCCACTGAATTGTAACAGTGATCTGCCACGGCTGAGGTGTTTGTCCTACCGTGTTTCAGGTCTGCCTTATGTTCACGGATGCGGTCCGAGACATGTCGTTTGGTTTCTCCAATGTAACTGCTACCACAGAGGAAACTTAGTTTGTAGACGCCAGGGTACTGTATGTCTGGAACCACATCTTTTACAGACGGGACCAGATCACGGATTTTATGTACTGTGTTGAATCGGACCTGGATCTTGTGTTTAATCAGGATTTTGGAGATCTTTTTTGTGACCCCAGCAATGTAGGGTAAGGTGATGGTCTTGAAAGGCTCCTCAACAGGATCCTTCTTGATGGTTGGAGTGATGGCTTTGCGGATTGTGTAGTCGGAGTAACCATTAGCCTTAAGAGCTTGGCGTACGTGTTTGAGTTCACTGGAAATGTGTTCATGGTCGGAGATGCATTGGGCTCTATGATATAGAGTCTTGATGAGGGAATTCTTCTGGGATGGATGGTGGTGGGAATCCGGTTTTAGATAAGCATCCGTGTGGGTGGCTTTCCTGTAGACAGAGTGGCTCATTGAACCATCAGGTCTCCTTTTGATTAGGACATCCAAAAAGGGTAGCTTGCCATCATTTTCGACTTCCATGGTGAATCTGATGGCTGGGTGTATGGAATTGATGTGGTCGAGAAATTGGTCTAGAGCAGGCCGGCCATGTGGCCAGATGACAAAAGTGTCGTCTACGTACCTCTTCCATAAGGTCGGGCGTAGAGTGGCAGTCTGGATGGCGTCCGTCTCAAATTTCTCCATGAAGACTGCCACTCTACGCCCGACCTTATGGAAGAGGTACGTAGACGACACTTTTGTCATCTGGCCACATGGCCGGCCTGCTCTAGACCAATTTCTCGACCACATCAATTCCATACACCCAGCCATCAGATTCACCATGGAAGTCGAAAATGATGGCAAGCTACCCTTTTTGGATGTCCTAATCAAAAGGAGACCTGATGGTTCAATGAGCCACTCTGTCTACAGGAAAGCCACCCACACGGATGCTTATCTAAAACCGGATTCCCACCACCATCCATCCCAGAAGAATTCCCTCATCAAGACTCTATATCATAGAGCCCAATGCATCTCCGACCATGAACACATTTCCAGTGAACTCAAACACGTACGCCAAGCTCTTAAGGCTAATGGTTACTCCGACTACACAATCCGCAAAGCCATCACTCCAACCATCAAGAAGGATCCTGTTGAGGAGCCTTTCAAGACCATCACCTTACCCTACATTGCTGGGGTCACAAAAAAGATCTCCAAAATCCTGATTAAACACAAGATCCAGGTCCGATTCAACACAGTACATAAAATCCGTGATCTGGTCCCGTCTGTAAAAGATGTGGTTCCAGACATACAGTACCCTGGCGTCTACAAACTAAGTTGCCTCTGTGGTAGCAGTTACATTGGAGAAACCAAACGACATGTCTCGGACCGCATCCGTGAACATAAGGCAGACCTGAAACACGGTAGGACAAACACCTCAGCCGTGGCAGATCACTGTTACAATTCAGTGGGCTCACATGACATTGACTTCTCCAAGACAGAGGTTCTCTGCAAGCCATCTGGCTATCATGAGAGATTCGTTCATGAGGCGATCCACATATACAAACACAGAGACAATTTTAACCGAGAAGATGGATTCTGGCTTAGCAATCATTGGAAGGACGTAATAAACCATTTCGACACACATTAGGGTGGGTAGAATAATACATAGTGTTATATTAAATGTATAAGATATAGGTTGGTTTACAGCAATACAGTATATAATTTAATGTTGGCAGTATATAGTACGGTATATGCTCGTTGATGCAATAGAATAAAGTTTAGATGGAAGCATATTATATAATTTTTACGACGTAGAATTGTAATGTATTACTTGCTGTTAGTAACTCAGCTTAGTGTAGAGTATAGTAAGTATCCTGATGGTGCTATGCTATTTATACTTTAGTTTTTTATGTAGTTTATACTTTAGTTTTCTACGTGGTGGTTGAGTAACTGCAGCTACATATCATTAACATTCCTTTCCTTTGTTACTGCTAATCCCTGCACCCCCCCCATTGGTGCTGTTGATCCTGCATAATGCATGGGCATAATATGACTTTGAAACCCCCCCGCCCACCTCCTACGCATTTTCCATGAATATGCTAAATTCCTCTTCACATGCACATTCTTTTGTTAAGGCGCTCTTTCCTCCACCTCCAACGCAGCTTATATATAAGCTCCTAGCTTGGCATTGTCTCATTCTTCACCTGAAGACGGCTGCTTGCGTTGTAGCCGAAACGTCGTGAGAATTGTTTTATTATGTTTTATTTTTATTATTTTATTACTTCCCTTCTACGTGACTTTACCGAAAGAACCAAGAAGATGAATCCCTGCAGTCACGAAAGCTTTAAATCGAAATTTAACATTTATAGTTGGGGTCGGGTCATGTACCTCAATATTGCACTCGAGTCACATCGCACCCATCGAGTTTTATATGTAAGGATCAGTGCTGTGATATCGATAGTGGATGCTCTGGCAGTGCATTTGACCATAATGTAAATATAACGTTTTTATCATTTAATGAAGCTTCAAACTCAGGTCAGATGGCTCTGGACACATGCCCATACAACATAGGTGTATGTTTATAAGTTCGTGAAATTAACTGTGCTTTGTCTTTATCCGTGTGATCCAGGGGCCTAAAAGTGTTACGCCCGACAGCCCGTGGAGATCTGTATTTCCATGTGTATGACCGTCGGCATCTCTTTTTGCTCGCATGTCCAGGAGGAGGATTGCCGAAACGGGGACCTCGTCTGAGAAAGTTGACCCAAAAGATGAAAAACTGGTAGGTGTTTGAGTACATTATCTCTTAAACGGATGAATGTGCAAAGCCTTAGGGCTGCTGGCTAAATGAATGTGTGCCGAACAGCTCTGCACAGTTGTAGGGTAGGGGGTGTATGCGCGCACGTTATTGGGTGAAAACGTGCGTGCGTGTGTGTCTGTCCATGGGTGCCTAAGCCCCTTTGTGTCACACCAGATGTTTCGGGTCATCCATCATGACCTTGATATCGACAGGAAGAAGCAGTCCATCTGTCCATGCAAAAACTTGTTATCTGAAAAACTCGATTCAGTAACTTGAAAACAGACTCTATAGCTTGAGTGGATTATCTGACCGTTGTTCAATACTGACCATGCACATCATGGGCAATTTGTACTTGTGCAGTCCTTTAGTCAATACGAATAATCCTCACGCCGTGCGAATCGTGAGGATTATTTGACCCTACTTCACCACGCCAGTCAGTGTGGGTTGATGAAGATGGGGAGCATAGCTGACGAGGCCTAAAATGAGTACCTGGTGTAGTAGTGGCATTCAACGTCTTCACTACTCCAGAGACAAATACTGCTGGGAAGGCTTCGTGCCAGCCACACACCACCTCATGATGTACCACCATGACTTTATTAGCTTATTGCGAGAAACATGTTACCCCAACACTGCCTCGTTGTCTGTTGTGTGTTCTTGTGCGTATCCATGCAGGAGGAGGTGGAGGCTGGAGGTGGAGCGAGGAGCTCCACTCCCGTGAGCACCGCAGGTAAATCTAACAGCCACGTCCCTTCGGAGCTAGTCGACTGCCCGGCCCTTGCTTAAGTGGATGTGTCATTTTTTTTTTTCTGAAAGCCATCGCAGCACTTAGTTGGCGAGGTGGTGGGGTGGGGGGGGGGATGTGCTCTGACCTGCTGTGACCACAGTCTAAATGTAGCAGACACATTCAGCCCCACCGTTGCATACCATGGTCAGCAGCAATCCATGCAGCAGCTCGGATCGTAGATGGTTTAAACATTTTCGGGGTGGAGCGGTAGTTCATTGGTTGGCGCACTATGCTTTGAACACGGCGACCTGAGTTTGATACCGGCCACTCTAACATCGGTGGCAATTGATATCCGAGCTAGTTTGGGCTTCCCTTTCACCAATCTGCACTAACATATTGGGTAGATCCTCAATCCATCAGATCTGTAAATAATTATTATTTGAATTGTTATTGCAAAGTGGTGGATAAATTACCACAACGGAAAATATTTCCTCCTCTTGACAGATGTGAGCAGGAGGACATGGGAGAGGAGCAACGCTGTCGCTGGAAACAAATCCCCCGTGATCGCCAGGCGAGTAGAATGCGATGAGCAGCTGCGGTTATTCCTCTTTGTTTAGTTGACGTGTTACATTATGCGTGTATGCTGTTGAACTTCTTTCGCACCGTACGTAGCCAACTGTGCCAATCGGATGTACGCTTTAACGACTTCCCGTTGTGTTCAAATCACCACAGGACAAAATCTATAACCAATGGCGGATCCTCCAATGGTGCAGCACCCGAAACGGGAAACGAGCGACTCAAGCATGTGAGTGCTGCTGCCGGTCATGCATAGCTCATTTGAGCCCCTATTGTCTGGGCGTTTGTAGAACCCCTCCATGTGCATGACGCTGCATGCTTCCTTTGCAGGAGATAATGGAGGAGATGAGGAAAGAACTACAAAAGGTCAAAGAAGAGATCATTAATGGTGAGATGTCACTTTTTCATGAAAATATAACCTTATTAACACTTTTCTTTGCACTGGGTTTAATTACTGCAATGGCACACTGCTCCATTATATGCAATTGCCACTTCAGTTAAATGTAGGGGTTCTTTCACAGCACATTTTTGACCATTTATGGAAAGATCATCACAGTGAATTATGCTGCCTTATTTATTTTACCCACAACGTTGCTATAATTGCAAATATAGTTTTTACTCGCAAGCGCGTGTGAACACAGTTGCGTCGTAGATTTTTAAAAATAGTCTCGTGACAAGTGTCTGTTTTTTTTCTGTTTATTCCAGTTATTCGAGAGGAGCTCAACCGACTCAGCACGTCGTGAGAGGGCAGCAGAGTCTCGAATATTCGAGCAAAAAGTGCCAAATTGTGACGGCGGTTAATTTTGGTTGCGCTGGCAGCCACTGGGTGTGATCAGGTCACGATTGGGTAGATGAAGGTTTTAGGAGTTTCAGGGACGTGCGCATGTCCCCTGCGCGAGTGGCGCCAGCTAGCTCACAACATGGCGGGAGGAGACTATATCTTAGTTTGACCTCCCTTCGCATAGCCGGATTTAAAGTCGCCTCCACCGTAGCGTTCCAGGGACAACTCGCAGCAGCGGAGCCCAAGCATGAGGTCTGTCAGGTTCAACAAGCCTGCCTTGCCTGGTCCACAAGGCATTGCAATGAGGCTGCTGCCTCTAACGTCCTTGATCCTGACTGGGGAAATAATAAATACCGTTATAATAATATAGATGTACCCTGGTGGTCACTCGTCCAATGTGGGAGGGCTGGGGTAGGCTTGTGCGTGTTAAATTGTCGTAAGAATCACAAACTCCATTGGGGGACAGTAATTGAATAAGTACACTCGGAGTCGTTTTTAATTCAGTTGAGAGCGATTTTAAAGTGCCGGTATGAGGGCCTGTGATGGCAAAAGCGCTGGTCAGGCGGTGCGATTCATCACTCTCTGCTTACACGAGGGTACTGCCACTGCCCAGGCATGGCACGTTCCGCGCAGGCGCGTTAATCTCAGCTGCAATGCCACTGATGAAATGTACGGGATCCAAATTTCACTAATACTAGAAAAGTAAATAAAAAAATCACTCACACTTTATCGCTATAAGTTTTTAAATTAATCACGTGACAATAACAAATCACAACCACCACTTCAAGTTCTAAAACCCATGCTTTAGTTAGAAATTATGGAGAGAGGAAAAAAAACATAAAGAACAAAAAAAATAATTTTTGTTACATGCCAAAACACTTTAATATTGCTGTAGCTCACCGCTTCATGTGTGTTTCTGTGAAGGAAGATAACTATTAATAACGATAGACAAGTCACGTACTGCTCTAACTGATGTTTACATTTTGCGTTGTTGAAGCCACTAAACGCTTGTTTTTTGTGTGTGGACCAGAAACAAAACTCGTTTCTTCTTACAAGAAAAAACAGCTGTCGGGCAGCGCGAGTCGTGTGTCATGAGGGGCTCTGAGCTGAGTATCTTCACTCAAAGTACTCCCGTCACAAGCAGGCTTTTGTTAAAATATTGCGTTAGTACTATTTTATTTTTAAAAATAACAATTAGACGTTTTTGCAGTTTAAGCAGCCGCAGGTGTTTACGGAAAATACAATTTCACGCAGAGGTATTGGAAATTTGTCAAATGAAATGTTTAGTTTCTATTTTTTTAGTTTGCCGACATGAGGCTCGTGCACGTGTTTCTGGCAGTTAAACTTGCGTGCAAATAAAGTTTTTTTTTTGGTGTATTGTACGTAGGTAACAGATTTTTAATTTTCACTCTACTGACTGTCCTTTCATGCTTTTAGTGAACCGTGTGGCGTTATCAGTTGCATGCTACCTTATTAAAGTAACTTAATAAAGATGTTGTCTGAGAGGTTACTTTTGCATGTTGGTCGTGGTGGAGGGGCTTTGCGTGACCTCTGTACCAATCTTCACCCCTTAACCTTTATGTTGCGAGGAATTAACAAGTGGAGGAATATTTTGTGCACACCTTTGACCAAGTTACTCTGAGACAACCAAATATCATTGGCTCTCAAAAAGTAAGCAATGATGAGCCTGATTAATACAGCATTTAAACAAGTGACCACCAGCAGGCCTTGCCCTGGTGTTGTTGGCATGGAGTTGCTTCCTGGGTAAAATGTATTATAAATAAAAAAACAATTCATTACCATTTTGAGCCTTCAGCTTTCATTAGCAGTTTTAAATATTCTGGAGCATCCAAGGCAACGGTGGCCAATACACCAAGCACCGATTCATTTTGGTGGATCTCAGCAGGCCCCGAACTCCACCAGAATGCTGTGACCTACAAATACCACTAGACTACTGACAAAGTACTAGCACCATCTATTGGTAGAAATTAGTTATTTAAGGTATGAATTCTTAGTCGGAGATTTGTATTTTCCATCTTCCAAAAGTGAAATGTGTGTGCATTGTATACTTATTTTAGTGTTCTTATTTGCCCTGAGATCCACAAGACCTCTGTTGCAATCCACCCGTGGATCTCGATCCACTTTGTTGGCTGATTCTCAGGCGAGTGGTTGGGATATGATGGGATTTAAGATGGGTGGTTGCAACAGATACTGGAGTAACAATAAATGCATTTGTTTTTACCATTAATTTAATATATTTCAATGCTGTGAATAGTTTTGGCAAAAAGCATCTACTTGTCCGATTGGTTTGTATTCGTTACTTCATGTAGTCTCAGTGCAGTGACCTATGGTTTTATAATTTATATTTTTTAAGGCCTTGGTTTGTGGGAGATTTAGTTGACTGCATCATTATCCACTGAATTAAATTCGTTTTTGTAGCCTGAAAAGTCGGGCATTATGGTATTCATTTGTCTTTTCTATAATGACGTGTTTGCTGTTAGACCAGCTTTGTATAAATCAAGCTTCCTCGTGTTTGTTTGGTGACCTCTAAATTGTCCATTATTTTGTCCCCTGTGTGATGATATTCGTGAATAATTGGTTAGATATGACGGGAGGCTAGTGGGTCAAATTCTTCAAATTAGTTTGATCCCTCATTTAAAAGAATGAACAAAGTATTTTTCAATTAATTAGTATATTATAATAATGCAAACCTGTCAACCCACACGGTTTGCCTGTATTCTTTAACAGGGAAATTGAGTTTTCAGGTCCATACGGCGTACCGCCATTACAATACGGGCAACAAAAGTATTTTTTTAATCCTTTATATTAAGTTCACTTGCGCGCTTGCTTGCTTACGACCGTGCAAATCTTTCGGTCGTTTTTTAACCCACTTCCCGTGATCCAATCGAGCTGACATTTTCCACACAGACTCGTCGTGCGTGACAATGTTCGTGAAAATTATTTTCCAAAATTTTACACTTTTTAGGACAAAATTATATTTAATTACCAATTGCTTAATGGTGCCATGCAATTATCTGACCCATAGGTGGCAGCCATCTCAAGCCAGAGGACGAGAGGACTCTAGCCGCCACGCATATAAAGGATTTATAGTGAAAAACTTTGTTTTTACGGGTTATACTTGTTCTCCCCTGTGATGGGACTTTGTAGGATGAACGTTGAGATTTGTAAGGGCACGGGGTGACCAATACGGTCTGAATCGATCTATGTAAGAGAGCGGTGTTGTAGCAGGTTAGCGTACTGCCCTTCAAACAGGAGTTCGATTCCCGCTCACGGCCAACGCCAGGTCCTGCGTCTCCCCTAGGTCGACTCGGCCTCATGGTTCGATGTTTAAACATCGCCACTAGGGAGACAAAGGCGGCCGGGCGTGGTGCTGGCCACCAACACCCCCTCGTGCCCCGTATAGGCGCTCGCTAAGGGCACTTGCCCCAAAGTATGCGGAGGACATACGGCGGGGTGGGTATCTGTGTAGACTTGGTGTGTTTGTAGGTGGTAGGGGTTAAGTGCTTTTAGCGAGCGCCTCTTCAGGTCCAGCACGAGAGACTGGGTATGACCAGCAACCCCGCGCGGCCGCCTTTGTCTCCCCAGTCCTCCTGATGTGTACACATTGAACCAAGTGAATGGGTGCACAGACAGGTGGTCATCGGGCTTGAGGGTCTGACGGTGGGCAATGGCTACGGCTCCCGGAAGTCAACCTGCACCAAGTGGTGAAGTATGGTCGAATAACCTTCACTGCTTCGGGGGGGGGGGGGTGAAACTCTCATCCAGCAGTGGATTTACAAAGGCCTGCGCACATTTGCCCCAAACGAGAACGATGTCGGAAAGAGTCGGCGATTGGTGGTTCATCCCGTGGGTTGGATGTCCTGGACCCTGCCACGTAAACGTGGAAATGCCACCACTAGACGTGCGAGAACAGTCAGGAGCGCAGCCCAGTTCATTTAAAGTTCATTGATTAGGTATAGCCCTGTGAGCCATTCGGCTCTTGAATCGGGTGCAACCGCAACAAACAAAAAACATGAACAAGAAAACATCTAAAAGTGACTATGTGCAGACTAAGTGCAAACCGAAAATCCAAGAGAAGACAGCAAAATATTGCAGAAAAGCACCGTACACCCACAATGTGTGCGCAAATCCCAGTGGGATGCAAGTCAAACAACAACCACAAGATAACTTAGATTAAGGTCATCAGTCTAACTCCGTACTACAACAAACAAACATGGCCAGACCAAAAACTTTTCTAATTCACCAAAATAAAGCCATGAAAGCAATGAAACGGTGATCATAGTGAAATTTGTCTTTCGATTAAGCTGGTGAGATGAATACTCTTTGGTTATTTCGGTCGGTATAAAATAAGTGACGACGTTTCGGGCGCAACACAAGGGTCCGTCATCAGGTGTTTTATACCCTACGTGACTTTACCCAAAGAACCAAAAAGTGTGGATTCCTGCAGTCACGAAAGCTTCAAATCAAGATCGTCAGATAAAGCGACACGTGGACTCTGACGCTTTGTGCTGATTCCATTGCCCCCGCAGCAGACGACCGCTTGTATTTAGTGACGTCATCGCAAACTGTGACCTCCCTCCCCCCCTGCGACGTCATCCCTCTACAAAAAAACGGATGATCGCGCGTTTGACGTCACGACGCACCGCGCTCCACGTGCCATGACGTCAGAGGCGTGACGGCACGCAAAAGCTGCTGAGCGATGACGTCGCGGCGCGTTCGGTTCTCGGGGCGACGTCATCGCGCAACGTCGACGTCATCGCGCAACGCTGACGTCACCGCGCAGCCCTCCTGTGGTGACGCTGTCATTTCGTAACGTCCAGCGGGGGGGGGGGGGGGGGGTTAGCGGGTGACGCAATGGCAAGCGGCCTTCCGATTGGCCGGAGGAGTTGGCGGAAGTTGGGGGCGTGGTTAGTGCCCCACGTGGTGTGCGCGGGGCCAATCGGCGAGTTTCGCGCCCAACTTCGCGAGAAGGAAGTCGGTTGGTGGAGGCGTAAATTTCGCGGGATTTCTGTTTTTATTTTTTGTTTTATTTCGCTTCAGTTTTTTTTCCGTCTCAAGCCGAAGCCAAAGGTGCGGGCGAACGTTGACGTAAAATAAGTAAATCATTTAAACGTTAAACCCACCCCACCACAACAACAACAGCGGTTGGGTACGAGAGCCGCGATTCCCGCCCTCGCGAGGCCTAGGCTAGTCGAGCGCGGCCCGTAAAGATTCAAAACGAGAGAGACCCGAGGCGGTTCGTAAACAAACGCGTTTAAGATCGTAACTTCTTACCACGTGCAATTCCACAGCCTTGTTTAAATATGACCGTCGGTGGGTGGCTGTCTGAAGCCGGTGTGCACGCAGAGCGTTACTGTTGTCGAGAGTCAACTCGGAGCGATTGTCGATGCCGAGGCGCGCGGAGTTTGCCTGGAGCCCTGCGGGGTTCAACTGCGGGGCCGTGGGGGGCCCTGCGGGGTTCAACTGTGGGGCCCTGCGGGGTTCAACTGCGGGGCCGTGGGGGGGCCGTGGGGGGTTCAACTGTGGGGCCCCGCGGGGCTCAACTGCGGGGCCGTGGGGGGCCCTGCGGGGTTCAACTGCGGGCCCGTGGGGGGCCCTGCGGGGTTCAACTGGGGGGCCGTACGGGGCCGTTACTTGCGCGGCGTCTAAACGCACGGCAACAGCCGCCGCCACGCTCGTCTTAACTGGCGGCGACGTCACCGCAGCTCTTGTGCCAGGCTAGGTGCACGTCCAGCGCCTCCCTTAAGGGTTGAGAGCTCGGCTGGCAGGTCATGGGACAGAGCCAGGCGTTATCGGTCTACTGAGATGACTGGCGTATGTACTCTCCTGTGTTCCCGGCTATGCTAATTTACGTTCGTAGTTGTGAGCATCGCTCCTTTGTTTTTGTTGTAGGGCGAATAAACCACATTAGTCACGTCTCTTCTCCAGCCCGTGCCGCGTCCGTTTAGCACCTCTCTATCCGGCTAAACAAGCTGCTTTGTCATGCGATCCTTGTTGGATGAGATCACCGATAAAAATCTAAGATCTTTTAAGGATCTGTAAGCTCACAATCCAGTCTGGTAAAACCCAGGATGGGTCGTAGGTAGGCATGACAGCCTTAATTTAAACACACACGGACACACCCACCCACGTGCGTGACAGCTACTGCTCTTGATGGTGGTTACAAGTGTTGTTCCCCGTGTGTGTGGTATAGAATGCGTGACAGGGCATCTTCGATTTGGAAGCAGTGTCCTTGTAAATTAACAGTACGCATATTAAGTGGTATACTTGGTCTGGACTTTCTCTCAATTCGGCCTAAACGATTACACCCGTTGCATGATAGTGTATTGGCAATAAAAGCATCACTGAAATAAATGTGTGCGCAGCGCTGCAGAGCCGTGCACGAACCATCTGGTGTGCCATGTAATATGCGCTTCCCAAATGAGGAAAATCGTTGGATATGTGCCCTCATGTGGAGGGCTTGTGCGGGAATGAATAAAGAGCGCGATGTTAAACATATCGGTATGCATATACTGTATCGATCGTTGTTAAGAAATTGGTTCGCTTAGTTGCTCAACGCTAAAAACAGCGTTTGGATTGATGCTGGCCGACCTAAACAATATTGTCGAAGCTTCTGGTTTATGGTTGAGTAATAAACTATCTTCAGTAAGTTTTACCTAACTTAATATTTGCACGTAAAACTTGTGGACAACACGGATTCATTACTGTCATTTGCTTTTTGTTAGCGCGCAGGAAAATGGTGCACAGCAAGTTCACGATAGGCGAGGAGGTGATGGCGCGCTGGCCCGGCAGCTGCATGTGGTATAAGGTGCAGGTGCTGTCCTACAGCGAAGGAAGTAGCATCTATAACGTCAAGTATGAGGACGGAACCGAGCTGGAGCTGGAGCCGAGCTCCATCAAGGTACCTGTGCTTCACAGCAGCCCTCCAATTTTAGTATGACAAGTTGGTGTTTCTTCCAGTGACTCTATCTCATGAGCAAATCACCCTGAGTGTACACAATTTCATCAGATCTCAAATACAGAGTCGATAGTGGGGTAAGCCACGTGGCAATTGGTCACGTTTACAAATACATCATCTATACGTGCCAAAGTATTGATTAAATTCTGACCAAGAAAGCTCACTGGTGTCTTAAGTCTTTGAATGACTGAATTTAACATCAAAATATGACGTTTCACTCAAACACATTTTTTGTCATCAGGTAATGAACCCAGATATCAAGTGCACTTCACTCGGAAATCGGGTTTAGCGATGGATTCTTGAGATGGGGTCACATTTAGACGCAATGTACAGTACTCTGAATCCGAACTGTCTTGCACTGAATCTGCATGTGTGAAGCATTGAGTATTACCTACCAGTATGCGTGTTTTCTTGGGTGCTTACATTTTTTTACAGGAAGGCAATGCTTGTGAATAAGAATTGGCCAAACATCCCAATGTGGGATCCTCAAGAAAGAGTCTTGATCCCCATCAAGGCTTTATTTCTAGGCCATCACTTTTAAGAGATTACATTTTTTTCAATTATCATGAGACGATTAAATTTCCATTCTGAACACTGGCATGAAGCCGTTTACCATTACCACAGCTGAGAATGTACTCAAGTCTGCATTTGGGGCACTTGTAGCATCTTATTCCCTGATATATGTGTTGGATGGTTCTATTAGTAGGGCTTCAATTGTCATTATAGTCATACTGTAAATGATTTCTATGCCCTCTTTAGTGGGGGCAAGTTTATACTCAAAGAGAATAATATGCATGAATGTGGTGCAGCATATTTAAAAATCACAAAAATACATATAATCTCGAATTTCGTAAAATAACATTTTCAAAATAGGAACCTGTGTGATCAAATCACCTGGAATGCAGCTGAGCTCGTCAAATATCTTAATTGAAGCAGGGTCTAGTCTAGATCGTGCTTGGTTGGCTATTCACTTTTCACACCAGGTTGTCGGCTGTGGAGCTATAACAATATACATTGTTGTAATGTACTTTCCACCTTCAATCTGCACAAATAATCCCCAAGACCCACATGTTGTTCGGAGGCCCTCATTCAATAGTGCATTGTCAAAACGGGTGTACATGTTTCGGTTTAAAACCAGCAAGCGAGCAAGTGATTAGATTTCTTTTGCGAATGTGCGTGCCTGTTGAGCAGAAGATCGGGTCGTTCCGTACACCCCGGAAGTCTCGCTCTCGCTCGCGCTCCAAGTCCCCGGGTCGGCGATCCAATTCGCCCGGGAGGCGATCCAATTCGCCCGGGAGGCGCCCCCGCGCTCGCTCCCCAATCCGTTCCCCCAAAGAGAACGATGAGGAAGCCAAGAGCAGCAGGGCCACCAAGCGAGAAGAGGAGCCCATCCAGACTACCACCAACCACACGGCCGTCAAGCAGGTAACGCAGGCAGGGTTTTGGCACTGCAACAAGGCGAAACTCTGTAAAAGAGTCGAAATTGGTTTTATAATAGAACACCGGTTATTTAGCCTGTAGGCATGTCACGAGTCGCCTCTGTGGTGATTTGATTCACGAATATTTTAACGTTGTGGTGAACTACAAAGGGGGTTGTGTGAACCGATAACTTGCAACATATAAAAAAAAATCCTAAGTAATCAAGTCTCGCGCACACCATTTACTCTTATCATAAGTGTAAGAATCGATTTTAATTAATAGGTCATTGCTCTGTTAACCACTGCGTTGGAAGTACTTTAAAATCACAGGCTGCAAATACTTTACTTGTATTTTAACAGACATTCTCTTTTTTCTAAAAGCAAGAATGTAATTTGTGATATTGAATGTTCCAATGATACTCATCACGGTTATTAAACGTAACACAATTAAGATACATTAAATTGTGTGGAAGATGCATTAATAAAAATGAGGCTGCGAGGTGGCCAGGAGATGGCAGTAAAGCAAATGTAATCGTGAACCTGTGTGTATGGAGCTTTATGTGTTACGCCCTTGTAACACATGGGTTTTTCTCGGCTATTCTGGTCTCCTCCAGCATGCCAAATGTTCAGGATTACCTAGGTAAACAAAGAGCGTTCTTATAATAGATCGATATGAAAGTGAAAGATGATCACTAAGCCGAAATAATGACAATATACAACATTTCAAATATATTGCAACAGTAAAGTAATCCCTCCAATACGGTGCATAAATTGTGAAGGTGGACAGAATGTTAGCAAAGTGTGATACTTGGAAAGTGATTTTCTTGTGTTCCTAGGCTATCACAAAAGTGAAGGAAATCAGCAAAGAAAACAATGGTGCGGAAACTGGGAAGCAAGCGGCCGTCATCGTGAAGGTGCGTGGTTTGCCTCTGCAGTGTGGTTTTGTCTCGTCAAATGCCTTGGTCTTCGTTAGTGATTCCATTTGTACATCCTCTGTCTTCCTTGTATTGCTCAGTTAATTGTTAAAAAAACATGTCTCAAATGGCTATATTTTGGTGGTTTCATTTTGGAATTAATAAAAAAAATTAGAATAACATTGCTCATTTGTCTCGCACAATTTATAAACAATGTACATCAAGATGCTTCACACAACTAAAGGTTGGTGCTTCACACCTATACACATGCATGCACAGATACTGGGATATCTGCGCATGACATGGTGACGAGGTCATCGCTTTGGAACCCGCAGGGTAGAAACGTGCAAGCGCCTCGCCGGCATTGGAGCATCACGATCCCCGTGCGTGTGCCCCTCCTGCCTTTGGTCTCCTACTCAGGAAAAGGTGATGAATGAGGAAAAGGCGATGAAGGAGAAGAAGAAGATGGGTGCCGTGGCGAGCGAGAGCAGCCCGTTAGTCATTTACCGCCTCAGGAGTCGGCAGGGCATCAATCAGCCCAAGGAGACGCCCCCCGTGGAACTTCCCAAGTTGTCCTCAAAACCGGAAGAGATCTGCCCTGAGCCGGGGCTCGGGGTGACGTTCGGTAGGTCGGTGTCGCCTGCGGGGTGTTGCTGGCAGCGCTGCCGAGAGCAGCTGTGCTGAACCACTGTCGGTCTGGTGCCTAAGGCGGTGACTGCACCTGTGTAACTGGGTTCAAGTCCCTCACTGGTCACCGCTAGTTGGATGTACACATGCCTAATTTGGTAGGCATGGAACGATGTACCCCCCCCCCCCCCACTGATTCGATTAAGCGATTATCTCTCGTCTCATTTTTCCCATCTGTCTTTTTTTTCTGAATTTGTTTGGCTGTTTTGTGCATGCATGTCATTTGCTTATAAATCACTTACTGCTTCTTACTTGCACTATTTGATGTATGTATTGAGTAATAATTGATTTTAATGTATTGATTGTTGCATCTTTCCTTATCTACTAAATGGCTAAATGACATCGACCAACAACGGATATTTGCCTTCGGATTTGGTTCCTGACTGCAAAAAAAAGTAGAGGTGGGCCTTAAAAAATATTTTTTTGACATTCGGTCATGTTGCATAGGGATTATGAATCAATACATTATGGTTATTATACCAAATTAGTGATATTTGAAACCTGTAGATTACCGAGGGCAATATATTTAAGTTATTGCAATTTATTAAAAAAAAAAATTGTCATTTAGTCCTCCACTGTGGTCACTTCTTCCGTGAGGCCTCTCTTGGCCGATGGCAATGCATCCAGGGTGAAATAATATATCAGATTTCTATGCTAATGTTACATAACATCTAACAACAATGATAATAAATAATGTAAAATGCGTGGCTGCTGCTTGCACCAATCGCGATTCACTTGAATCCGTTGAGTGGCTTTGTTCCCCTTCTAAATGTTGAATCTGGCAGGGGTTTCACTCGCGAGCCTTGCTCGGGCTCTCTCCCCCGGTGACACCCGGCGGCTGTGTGTGGCTCGGCAGGCACGGCGCTGCTGCCGCTGGCTCTCCCGCTGGTGCTGCTCTACGTCCTGCATGTGTGCTGCTCGGACGGCTGCAGCCTGCTGTCCCCCCCCGCCCCGCCCCCGGGCCTGGCCTCGCTGTGGGACATGTGCACGTTGGTTCTCTGCCTTGGCTGGTGTCTCTTCCAGGCCCTGCTCTGCCGCCTGCCCCTTGGAAATGTATGTGCTCGCGAGCACTGTTTGGTGCTCAGGGAGCTGAGGGGTGGGGGGTCATGGATAATGGGGGTGCATGTGTCTCACCTTTACCTATTCAGGCGCTTTGCACAAAGCGGTTTTGGATTTAGAGTTGCAGTGTAACGGTTGTACTTGGTGTGATGAGTAAATGCACGTTCACCTACAGTTGCAATAAAGCTGCCAACTAGCGAAAATATTTGCAAGTTGAGCTCAGCTGTACATGGTTAATGTACGCAGCACACAGCCAAGACTCTCCAATGTGACTGTTTGTAAGGGTGAATGTGTCGTAAATTTGGAATCTGTCAATGTGAGGCTGAAGAAGCCAGTGTCCCAAGGGCCTTATTTGTCACCTGAACATGTGCAGTCCCTCGGCAGCATGATTGTCAATAAATAACTTTCTCAAATACATATACGACAACAACACAGCCACATAGATGTCTCTATATGTGTATGAAGTTTAAGCATTTAATTTAGCTGCATGTAAAATTTACATTTTATGCATGTTACCCTGGGTGTTTGAGTTGAGTGTGTATGCTGCAGGGGTGTTTATGTTTTTGTCATCACTTTGGCCAACTGTACACAAACTAAACCTTGTGGAATATGTGTCTTGACACTACAAGAGGATCCCCACTGATGGAAACAAATGCTAAAGACAGGTTGAATTGAGCCTGAGGTGGATGACCACTTCTGAGCTTGAAACATAACCACATTAACTGTGACATAGCCACATTTGACGATATGTTTACTGGATGCATTGCATTAACTGCCAGTAGTGAGACATTGTTTTGAATTAATGCAGTTGAGATTAAGCACGTGTGTGGCTTCTCACATTTGTCACTTTTATGGAGTCTCTGGATATTTTTACGTGCATAATTGGGCACATGGCAAGGCTGTTCAATTTTTCCGTGCGTCCCACTTCTCACATTAATAGCGACAGGGTTCTCTTATTGTGTTTGTAACAGATGGCTTTATTGCTTTTGAATTTTCAGGTCACGGAGAGGGTGCCACCAAACACGGAGCAGCGGTTGAAGTACAGGCTGAATGGTGAGTTTTGTGCGTCAGTGTCGGTTTTTTTCTGTGCTGCTTATGCAGACGTTTACTGTAAAGTGAGGAATGTCTCAAGTGGGGGGGGGGGGGGTAGGTTAGCAGCTGGTGGTGCTGCTTGGCAGCTCCACGGGAGACCCCGTGATGTTTGGTCTTCGCATGAGTAAGCCGATGCTCTGGCCAAATTTCATGAAAATATATTTCCCGCAATTACTTCAGAACGGCCGAGAACCTTCTTGTGGGATGCAGATCAATAGGCGGCAAGCTTGTGTTGTCACAATGTTTTTGGGAATGGCATGTTAAAGTTGAACACTTTGTAAATTAATTTATATTGCCACTCCGAAGGGAATTTCACAGTTGATTGGTTATTTCAGTTGGCATTCATGATAGTCTAGTCCAGTGATGAGTGGTATATTTTTTAATCAGAAAAATTATTTTTTAAACATGGACAAAATAAAGTAAATGTATGTTGAATAAATTATGTAATTTATTAAGTAACTTAAATCACCTGAACACGTGCTTGGGCCATGGCTCTGCCTGCCCATAATAAGTTTAAGCTACTGTGGAGATTCAGAGGTCAGAGAGCTGAGCTGGTACCCCTGAGATCTTAGATTGGAATCCAGGAAGTTACCTGAAATTAAACTGGGTTCTCAATCGTGAGTTGATGAGTTTATGGTTTTATTAACTGGACTTCCAGCTCTGAGATTCTAAATATTCGTTGCAATCGAACTTTACTTTCTCTGGCAGTGGGTGGGAAAGTCATGCCCTCTACCGTATGGACCAGTTCACTTGAAAGGATCTCTGAGACAGCTTTGCAATATCCGCTTCTGTCGGCTATTCTCAATGGGAAAGGTCGCATTGCTTTGCTTAGAGTTCCCAATGGATACTTTGTCTTATGACATGATGCCAATTGCACATTTAAAATGAAATAAATATGAAGCTGCTGGCCTGCATATTAATGTCTCACTTGAGCATTGCTTCCACCACAGGGATCCACGCCCTGGTGTTGAGCATCGCAGCATTCAGCCTCGCCAAGTACAAGGAGGCCTACGTTGCCTTTGTTCACGACAAGTTCCTGCAGCTGGCCGTGTCGGCTGTGCTGCTTGCCTACCTGCTCTCCGCGTACCTGTTCGTGCGCGCACGTTGTGCCTCGCACATTGCTGTCGCCACTACCAGACGCCCCGGTGAGCACCCGCTGAAGCTGGTGTTAGCACACACCCAACCAAGACATCAAGTGAAACCCATGCACACTGTTTTAATGATAGAGCGGCAACAAGAGTGGCTAACGTGCCTGAAACAAAGCGCCTGGCTGTTGTACACAAAATTCATGCAAACTGTCTTTCTGCACCCGGGCAATCCTGCTGCATTAAATCCTGTTTTTTTATGTTACTCATAGACACGATTTATTTGTGATAAGTCACACAAAATATTTCAGTTAGAGCTCATTCAGCTTTTGGCCACTTTTATTTTTCCTCGACTTCTCACCACAGTCAAAAATATGGAACTCATCTGTAGTGATATTTTGTTTAAGAGGTGCCATGTAATGGTGATGATGAAGCACTTCATAAACGTCCACTTTATCAGGAAACATCTTTTACGACTTCTTCTTTGGACGCGAGCTGAATCCCCGGATTGGAAACATGGATCTCAAGAGTTTCTTTGAATTGCGGCCTGGATTTATTGGCTGGGTAAGTAAGTCTCTAACACTTTCTACTTTGTAGGATATTTCTGGGATGGGATTTTTCATTCGGTTAAAACTGCATGCTGGAAGTTTCATGTGAAGATGCCAGTGCACAGGGGAGTTTTTCTGTTAAGAGGCCATGTAAAGGTTTTTTCTGACTGCATGCTTGTGGATTACAGGCCATCATCAGCCTGGTCATGGTTCTTCAAGACCTCCAGAAGAATGAGGCGTTCTCGCCTGCCCTACTTCTCTACGTTGCCTTACAGTTCATCTATGTGGCTGACGTGTTGTGGAACGAGGTGAGCCAAAAAAGTTGGACTCATTAATTTAACCTCCTCCACTGCAATGGTTCATGAGGCCAGACCAGGTATTTCATTTGTTGGTAAAACCTGAGGTGGCATACATATACCAGTTCTAATTTCTTAATGTGGTCAACAATAAAATAATGTTATGATATCCACTTGAAATCATTCAGTTATCAAATATTCATTCTAGTCCTATAAATACATAGGTACAACTAAAGTTATGCTACCGCAAATGATAACCAATTTCTGCTGAGGCCCATGAACGAAAACCTTCTCGCCTGCTGGAGCTGTTGCTATGCCTTTTTTCAGCGCAGGCCACATTGAGAATCTCTAGCGCCCTACGGGCCAAGAGTGCCACGTGGAAATCTAGTGACACGATGTCACGTGAGCGAGTAACGTCACATTCTTAAGCGTCGCGTGAGCGAGCGTGACATCACACTTGGGAATAGTTATTGCTAGCATGTTTGCAGTGAGCCGCCCACCCAGTTGTTTGCCGAGCATTCACCGACCTTCGGGCCTGTCACATCCACGTTGCAGGCCAGAAAGTTTTCACACCCCTTACAGAGTCCAAGTCCGGCTTTTAGGCAGCTTGCCAAAGATGATCATTTTTCCTCAGATATATACCTTCTATGTTCAGCTTCCCATAGGATTATATTAGGCTCGTCTTCTGAAAAGTATTGTAATTCACTGAGCCTTGTAGACTATTTCAAAAGCATCCTGATTCCGTTGCATGGCCAATTCTGTTTTTTATTATGTGACAATGACAAAGCGTGCTTGTTTATCCGTCATAAAATTGTAATATCAATACGTCTTCTAATGAAAGGAACTTAGAGGCATGATGATTACAAAGACACATGTTTGGCTGTGTGTATGCGGTTCGGACGGCAACAGGAGCGCAGTCTATCGACGGGCGACATCCCGCACAAACACTTTGGCTTCCTGCTGGCCTTTACCAACCTGGCGTGGATACCTTTTGCTTCGAGCCTGCCGGCCTACTACCTGGTACACCACCACCAGGAGCTCACCGCCTACTGGGCCGCAGCGATTTGCCTGCTGTACCGTACGTGCTGCCATCCTGTCCCACACAAGCACACGTATCACACATGTACCACTTGCAGCACGCACACGTGTACCATGCAAGACACGCGAACCACGCATAACATGCACACGTACCGCACACAACACGCACAGCACATGCGCATGTGCGGTGCAATTGTGCGTGCTATGTATGGTACATGTGTGTGTTGTGTCACACACCACACACCGCAGGGAAACTGGTTGCCCTGTAGTCCATCATTCAGCAAAAATCACAGCATAGACTACTGTGACATCAGCAGATTTAAGTCATTCTTGGGGAGGGGGACAGATTGGAGAATTACTGAAGGAAATACCCCCCATCTCTATGCTGTATATATGTTGAACTTCTTTCGCACCGTACGTAGCCAACCGTGCTAATCGATGCTCTTCAGGTTGTATTGTCAGGGATTGTGTTATTGTAGAAAGCTCACAGACCTGTTATTGGTTATCGTTGATGTAGTCTTACTTTGTAAAATATGGCATGTGGTAACCATGTGCTTAAATGTTATGATTGAACCAAAAGAGCACCTTTTTAAATTTATTGTTTTCTTATTTTCTCAGATAAATATATCTTTTAGAAATGAAGTGTAAAAATAGGCTTCAGATATTCTTTTTTATATACTTAACTGTGCATTGAATTATTTTTTTTACATTTGATTTATACTTTTTTAATTGAAATACTTGGAATCTAAAGAGGCAAACTCCTGATGGTTGACTTCCTTGTTTGTCTGCATAGTTGTGGGCTATGTCATCTCCCGGAGGGCGCACACGCAGAAGAATGCTCAGAGCGACAGTGCCGGAGATCGTAAGTAACCATCCCTGTTGGTCCTCATCATGAAGGTTCGCTGGGCATTGTTCAATGTTTTTTTGCAACTGATTTTCTGACTGGTCAAGGTTGTGAAATCAGCATTGTGGGGAGCGATAGTGTAGCGGTTATTGTGAATTGTTATACGTCTTGATCCACAGCTTGAAATCGGTTCCCATTGGCAACACCGAGTAGTGTGAGTGGCAGTTGTGTATCAGAGGCGCTGCCCTGTGTTTGCGAGACCGACACTGCTTGTGCTGCTTGTGTCGCAGGTGGGAAATCTGCTGACAGCCGGAGTTCACCGGTGCTGGGCTGGTGGAGCCGCCTGCGCCACCCGGAGCGTCTAGGCGAGCTCTTGATGTTGCTTGCATGGAGCCTGCCCTGCGGTAATGATCCTGCCACAGGGTCCCTTTACACGGGGATTATGACCGACCTTGTACGTTTATACATACGTGAACGTCAATGCAGTGTTTAATTTTCTGCCAGCAATTACTAAATTCGGTATTTGAAATACATTTTGCTGGCTGGAGGAATGTATGGATGGGATGGTTCATGTCCAAGGGGTGCGGGTTTATAGTCTTTAATTTTTGAAAATATATGCCCCCTCTTTCAGTATAATACCACTTGCCACTGCTTTGTACAATGCATTAAGATGAAGTTGCATTTCGATGTTGTATACATTTTAATTGTATTGTAAAGCAAATATCCATGCAAGGGCTAAAATTAATACCTGAGCCTTTGGTGGAAACTGTACACTCCTAAGGTGCGGAAGGTCTTTATTCATGCTTTGATAAATAATTGGATTGCTGGTAAACTAGTGCCAAATTGATATGTACACCCACATCACAATCGATGTAACAGTTGGCGCCTCGTAACTGGAGTCGATCCAATGAGACGTTATCGACGCACGCTTCAGAATTACGGTGCCTAGGGAGAGCTTTTTGTGAAGGTATCTTGTAATTTCCACGTTATTGGCCTCGAGGCTGAGTGATGCCTTACCAAGTGCACGCGGTGTACTCGACTCCTCCAATGCAGCACATGGAGTAATGATTGTTTACAGCCCTTTGTCAATCCACTGGTGGGTGAAGGCCTCTGTGTGCCCTGTTGTTCATGAGGGCTGGTCAGTGGGTCGGTGAGTGGAGGAGGGTGCAAGAACAGTTCAGATATCACTCACCACTGATGTTAGCCGTGGGCAGAAATCAAAATCAGGTCGCCAGGTTCACAGTGCAGTGCGCTCACCACTGTGCTGCCCTTACACCTCGACATGGATATATTCAGCCAAAAGTGAGTGCCATTTGCAGTGTGGTATGTTCAACACCAGCACTGGGATGACAAAGGCAGCCAGACGTAACTAGTCACAATTGGGAAAGGGTTGCTTGTGTAATGCTGCTATTAATAAGCGATTCATTGTAAACCGGTACAAGGCCTGTTTTAACACCAGAGAATGTGGGATTTTATGCACATTGGGCCTTCCGGATGAACGTTTTCCAGCAGCGTTTGTGTCAGCAGGCAAACTATAATATAAAATTACTCATCAGCAGTTTGTGGCCTTTTAAACAAGTGTTTCCAGGTTTGCCGGTGTTAAAGGTAAGGATCAACATCATGCGGGGGGCTAAGTTATACATAAAAACTCTACATTCTGTATTGTCCTTGATAGGCACTTGCTAATAGCACTTGTCTCAGTCTGTTCAGCTTAACGGAGGGATCCCTGTGTATGTGTATGTGCAAGCAGGCTTCAGCCACCCACTGCCATACGTCCCTGTCGCGTACTCCCTGGTGATGCTGCTGCATCGTGAGGCGTGGGGATGACCGCCAGGGCTGTCCCAGCTCTCCGTCCTGTGTATACTAACCTACTCCCCTTCGTCTGTGCGAGACAAACATACACCTGTGTGTAAGTGGGAATGTGCAGACATGTGTAGTGTCTGCACGAGAGCTTCTGAGGTTTTAAATTATCTTTCCGCTATTTAATGAGTGGCAAATATTCAGTGTTTTTTCAAAGTGTTGCCATTAAGGGTTGACGCATCCGCAATCAAAAGAGCTCTTGTAGACCCGTACCTGGGTTGCACGTCACAAGTTGTCCAACACAAGTTTTAAGATTTCTTAATGAGAAAAAGTATTTTCAAGTGGAATTCGGCGACACTGTAGTAGTGGGTCCAGTGAAATTGCAGCAGGGTGACACAAGTCACTGCTGGAGTCCTCAGACAACTCGCCTGAAAGTCACTTGCAATTTTTATAACAAAGTTTTTTATACTCATGTTGGACAGCCTGGGTAGGTTTTTTTGGATTGCGTCTTTTATATTTTTTTAAGTACGCAAGTATTGTCACTGATCTCAACTCGTTTCTGGCTTAGCAACACTCAAAACCTCTCGGATTTTTATTGCCTCTACTTTTTATAAACACAAAACATCAATTTACATCATCAAATTCAACATACATTCCTGGAGGGTGCGTCCGTGTGCTACGAAGTGAAACAAATTTTTACTAGTTGCCTGTGATGAATTTCTCGCCAGTTTAGACCCAGTAGTCT